AGTATACCAGTCTAACATAAGCAGGCGCATACACCATATTATACAGATATAAAGCAAGGGAGGGTACTAAAGGGCATGTCCAAAAGGGAGCCCCACGAATAGGAAGACCTAGGAAAAACATATCATGTTATATACAATGCAATGGACAGTTTGAGCATGCGCGGGCGTGCATATGGGGCTATACACCCGCCAGGGAGCAGTTTGAGCATGCGCGGACACATTTACAGCGGTTAATGTAATGCAGTGGACAATTGCGGCGCGTGTGGGCGGTTATGCCATGGTACCTGCTCTGCGATGAGCAGTTGTAAGGATGGCAGGCGCAGAAACAGTGGTGTGCAGCGGGGGGCGGGGCAGTCGTGACCTGTGCGTGCGGGTGAGATGCAGCGCCGCGGATAGTTATAGAATGCGCTGGCACATAAGCGGTGGGCAGTTGCAGCATGCATGGGCGCGTGTGCCACAGAGACAGTGCAGTAGGTGCTCCCAGCGGGCCAGTGTCAACATTGGCGGACAGTACCATGTACCACAGTCCCAGGGGCCACATCCCCCGACCCGCCCCACCCCATCGGGGCAGACTGGGCCCCCATATCTGGCTGTACGTGAGGTGTGGCTCAGCAACTGTCCGCCCGGCATAAGGTGCAGTTCTGTGGAGCGGGGGGACATGGTGCCAATGTGGGATGTCCAATCGGTAGGTGGGCTAAGTTCATATCTGGAGACAGCGTCTATGTCCTGGAACGGGGCTATTTGTGTCCTAGAGAGGGCCAGGCTGGTGTTGGGCGCATTGTGGGGGGGAAGGGGGGAGAAAGTCATGCCCTCTAACGGGCGGTACCTGTGGGCCTAGTGGCCTCCTGGCGTCCCCCTCTAGTGCGTTGCGGCAGCGCCGGTCTTGGGTAGGGGTTTCTTGCGGCGGTGTAGATGTCCAGTGGGTCAGGCCATCTCATGTTGATGGCGGGCAGTTGGAGCTCCGTGCCCAGGGCTATATAGTCGCTGTGTGTGCGGACCAGGAATGGACCCCTCTGCGTGTGGACGAGCAGTCCCGTGGGCATCTGCCATCTGTACCGGATCTGTTGGGCCACCAGGACCCTCGTGAGTGGTTTCAGAGCGCGTCGGTAGGTCAGGGTAGCCGGCGATAAATCTGGAAAGAGTTGCAGGTCTTGGTTCCGGTAGGTGAGCGATTGCCGGCCTCGTGCTTGTTTAAGGATAGTCTCCTTTAAGGCAAAATTCGCTAGGCAGCATATGACATCCCTGGGTGGGCTATCTGGCGCGCCCTTAGGACGGAGGGCTCTATGAGCTCTTACAAATTCTATGGGTGCCTGGTGGTCTCGGCCTAGGATCTCATTTAATATTTCAAGGAGGATTTCTTGTAGCTGCTGGGGGGAGTCCTCAGTTTCAGGGAGGCCGCGCAGTCTTAAGTTATTGCGGCGCCCCCTGTTGTCCAGGTCCTCAATATGTAGGGCCATGCCACGTACCTGTTCCGAGGAGCTGTCTGCAGCCTCTGCTAATGTATGCTGCGCTTCCCTCAGGCTGTCACAGGTTGCCTCCATGTGGCCCACGCGGTCTGACAGACCCTGCATGTCAGCCCTCAGTGCCTGGATGTCCTGCCTGATTGTAGCTCCCAGGGCTGAGGTGGCTGAGTGGAGATCCTCTTTGGTGGGCAGTGCTCTCAGGAGGTCCAACCAAGGGGGGCGCTCTGTGCCGCTTGTGAGCACTTCTGATGCCGGTGAGGAAGGCGCGCTCTCCTCCGACGCCATTGATCCGTCGGCGCCATGCGGCTGTGTTGCGAGGTCTGCGGGGGTCACCAGGAACTGGCGCAGGGACGAGGTGAGTTGTCCCTTTTTGGGCTCTGGGGTCTTCCCTGGCTGTGGGGTCCTATTGGGTCTCCCCATGTCGGCAGTGTAGCGGGCAGGCTGCGGGTTTGTAGTCGGGACCCGGGCGGCGGGAAAGTTTAGGCGGCCATGTTCGTCGGCTGCCAAGCCACGCCCCCCTAAATAGTATTTTATATCAATCGTTCCTGTATCTCTGATCAGATGCCAATGGTGTTTCATTGTCCCTGTATGTACATTGTACAGTGATAATAAAGTTGAATCTGAAGTTTGTATCTTCTGCTCTGTAAATTGAACTTTAATCAAGCATACACAGGAGGCTTCTGCAAAGTCTAGAAGGTTATTAGCTGGAGATAGGATATTCTAAATTACACAGAATGTGTAATAAAGGAAGTTAAAACATTAGCTCTTTCTTTTCAGGAAGTGTTTAGGAAGGCTGCGCAAGTTGCATGCAGGGAGGTGTGACTAAGGCTGTATAAAGCAGAGTAAGTGATGAGAACCGCACCCAATCCCAACGGCCAAGGGTGCTCCAGAGCAGGACCAGCAATCCCAGTACAATAATCCAAGAGGAAAAAACTCACAGGCACTCCAACTTCAAGCCGCAGGCAGATTTATTATGACAGAATGCAACGCAACGTTTCGACCGGAAAGGTCTTTTTCAAGCTTGAAAAAGACCTTTCCGGTCGAAACGTTGCGTTGCATTCTGTCATAATAAATCTGCCTGCGGCTTGAAGTTGGAGTGCCTGTGAGTTTTTTCCTCTTGGATTAAGGCTGTATAAACACTGAATAAATTCCTAAATGGCAGTGAGACTACATGGGGCATGATCTATACACCAAAACTGTTTCTTTAATCTAAAGTTGTGTTGCTGCCTATAGAGTCCCTTTAAAGTTTGGAAATCATTCACAAATAGCAGCCAAGAATACAGGTTAGCTACATATAATATTCACAAACATGTTCCTTCAATAAAAAATAAATAAAATTTACTTTTAATGACACGAACATTCAAAAATAAACGTTTTACCACAGTTTGGAAAGCAACTCCAAAATTATATTTAGCTGGAATGTGGTTGGGGAACAAAGACTGGAAACACTGAGCACACCATGCAGTCTCAATATGCACTTATACTTGTCTAAATACAAAGTATGTATTGCTTGTAAATACATAAACAGAAGATTAGATTATTTTTAGGATATTATACCTTTTAAATGCCATTCTCTCTTACACAAATTATATTAACTTTGGGTTCAAATGAGTAGAGATAAAGACATTCACAATATAATGGCAAAGAGAATGTAAGTTTAATTGTAAACTAATATTTCAAAATACACATTTTTGTAGCCTATTCACAAGTAGAGGGTTAGAGAGTTTTTCTTTTATTTTCCTAGAAATATCATAGTGCTCTTATATTATAAGATTAAAAGAGATTGATGTTTAGATAAAAAAAAAACGACAATTTAAGACTAAAATAACTAACTAGCTTTGACTGTAACAGAGTTGCAGAATATTGGCATATCAGCTATTTTGGCCTAAATGTTTTGGTCTTTCTTTTTGAAGTAAATCCCAGAGTTTGTCAATGTATTCAATTCTATTCGCTGCAGAAAATCATTTCAATTAACTGGTTACATTTGGTAGAGAATTTCACTCTTAATTTTGTTAAGTTCTTATGACCAAGTTAATGAGCCAATAACACGGACCTCTGAGGCCCAAATCACAAGATATATATGAAAAATAAAAACTCCAAATGTGCTTCAAAAATAAGTATAATATAAAAAGATACCAGTACTTATGTTGTAGGAAAGCCATGAAGCTAAACGTTTGTAAAAAATATTTATTAATTTACATATAATGTAACAATATTTTTGAAAGCAGAGCATTTGACCCTATTGTCCAACGCATACCTGCTCAGAAAAATCAGTGATATGTGAGTAAGAACAGCAAGAAAGTTAGCACACAATGGAAGAATAAATTTCCAGCTTTTTAAATCCTGTGTCAAGTTTTGGGGTGGTTGTTTTCATTTAACAGACTTTATCCACTTTTCAGCCATATTACTAAAGATGCTAATATCACAATAACAAAAGTTACTAGTTAAAAATAAAATAAAAAATAAAATAAAGTAAAAAACATCAGAAATTTACAATGAAACTTTCATTGCTAAAAAAAAAAAAAAAAAAACAAACTCACAAACATACATCTGAGTAATTATAGCTAACAAAACTATTACTCCTATGCTGGCATAGCCAAGGTTTTTGTCAAGATTTTGAAGCTAGAGAAACTATACCAATACAAAAATACATATCCTCCATAAAAAGTGTGAGGATACACTATACATATGAAATAATACATGCATGTATCTTCAAATATACTTGTTTCCGGTTTGCAAGGAGGCACAATAAACTTGAATAACTGCCAAGTGTGAAATCAAAATGGGGACTGAGCTTTCAGTTTATTTTCTGGAAACACACAGAGACGATATTTATGTAAAATAGTATGTGGACAACAGATTCATCTGGCAGTAAAAAGGCTGCCCAGCTCATGTGGTTTTGTTGTATTCTCTCACTCTAGAATTTATTTTGTACATTACAAAAAAATATATACATATACACACAAAAAAGGGTATGGAACCCACAACAAAACCTCAAAGTAAATAAAAAACAAAACAAAAAAAAACGAGGGAAGGAAAAATTAAATTAAAACCTTTCCGGCATTTAAAATGATTCCTCTTTGGCGTTGGGGTGCGGACATGTTAAATTCTACCAGTATTCTTAGCTAGAGGACAGGTGGATAAATAAAAAAGAAAAAACAAAAAGGAACAAATACAGAAAATGTATTTTCAGGTTAAGGCACAAAATAAAAAAATCACAAAGAAGATGAAGGGAAAAAAAAAAAAAAAAAACACACCCGGAGGGAATAAAATCGATGTATGTTAATTTCTTGCTCAACAGTATAGAATCCCCATCCAGTGGAGATCACATCACAGTTTTGTCATTTTGCAAGAACTACCCACACAACACTGGTTCCTGTGTAATACTTGTCCTCTCTAAGAGCTATAATTATATATCGTTGAAGGAAAAGTAGGTTTTCCATTTACTTCAATATGATCCACAATTTATACGTCTTCCATCCTGTATTCAGGCATTTTTATATCCACTGCAAAGAGTTCATAAACTTGACATTACAATATGTGGATGGCGTATCATGAATTCCTTTCTTGTACACATTTCCAAAGTCATTACAAATAATGATAGTGGTCAGGTTCAATCCACATTGTACTGCATATAAGCCAAACTTGAAGATTTCAAGGGTTGGAGAAATTAAACTGTCATGCCAGAATGAAAAGCCCAACAGTTTCCATAAATTTTCTAAATTTAATTTCATGCATGAGTCTTAAAACATGGAAACAAAAACTATGAAAAATCTGTCTTTTGTCCTAGTCTTTTAACTGCTCTGAGTGGAAATAACATCTGTAGACTGTGGATCACAAAAGGGTCCAAAACGACCATAAATATCCTTAGCCCGGACAGCAAAATAGTACTTGCTACCAGATACAAACTGTGTGAGAGTACAAGCCATTGGAAGTGGTAGTGCTTTGACTTCTCCTATTTTTTTCCACTGTGATGGAGATGTTGCAGTTGGGTCTTCATGGTAAGCATAGAGGTGATAGCTGTCCACAACAGCACAAGAGCGATCTACTTCCAATACACTCCAAGAAAGGACAATTCCATTTTGACTTTGTACTCTGGCCAGTTTGAGGTGAGGCTTTTGAGGAGCAGAAGTTGATCCAGCTTCTGCAGGAAGCCGCTGGGGTTGAGGAGCCTCCGGAAGTGGAGCTGGATGAATTGGTCTTGCTGGTTCCTGTAAAAAAAGAAAAGTTTATTTTACTGCATTTTATATACAGATTGACATTTAACAGAAAATAAGCACATATACAGAAACCCAATTTGTATGCAATACTGTAAGTGATATAAAGTTTAATGTAAAATACTGGAAGACACCGGAAGATCTGTTACACAAACACACAACATAGATATATATAAGAAGCACAGATTTTCAAGAATACGAATATATTATCAATATGAAGTTGTATGCAAGGTTTAAAAAAAAAAAAAAAAAATTTTTTTTAAAAATGACAATTTTTTCAACATGTAGCAAAACAGGTAATTACAGAACAATGCAGTTTATTTTAGGTTTTCCCACCTGGGCAGGGCGATGGTGTACAGTGAGCTGTGGTCCTGCAGTACCCATGGCCATTCCATTATTAACCACATATGCAGTGGCTTGAGGCATTCGAACGGGAACCCCTAAAAATTGTGCAAGGTGAAAAAGTAAATCAATAGAATTTTAACATTTCTACAAGGTATACACAACCATGCATACCTTTTACATGATTTGAATTATAAATTATACAATTACATTTTTGTCAAAACTAAAAAAACACATTGTTCTTGTAAAAGCAGGCCCATTTTCTATAACATTCCTACAATTAGGATGCTTACAATTACATGATTAGCATAATTCTCACAGTTCCTAAAATGGACATTGACATGGCATGATGCTGCCAACAAACGTGAACTTGGGGATGGGATATCTTGAAGCAAAGGCTGTTTCAGCTTTGATTTGCTAATTGGCAGATTTCCTTTTATTAGAATTGAATGTTAGGTTGTGAGATTATGACATGATTTCATGAAATTGGCTGTGGGGATCATTGTGTGCTTGGCTGTGAGTAAGAGCCATGTCAGCAGCCAAGGAGATACTGCTCTCTCATTGGCTGAGCTATGTACCTACTTCTAATCAAGGAGAAGGTTTGTGAAAAGGAAAATTCTGCAAGTAACTCTGCAAAAAGTTGCAAAAACTAAAGAGATTGAATGAGAGATAAGATTTGAATGCTGATTAAAATTTAAAATAAAATAAAAAAACAGCATGAATGTGAGGCAGGATCCTATCAAAACACTTGAGCTATGTTGACTTTCGCCAGCAATATCATACTAAAGCATATATTGCATGTATTGTAAAATTCCATTTAATAATAAAATCAAAACAAAATTTACCTCCAGTTTGTGGACTTATTTGCTTCAGATTCTGGTTCTGCATAAGTGTGCTACGTGCAGGTGTGGAGGCTGGGACAGTGGGAAGATTTGTTGTAGTATATACCATCTGCTGATTGTTTGGAGGTCGGGGTGCTGTAGCCCTTGTTGGAGCTTGAGTCCCTGGTCTTTGAGTAATGTTAACAGTAGTCTGAGCTGTAATGTGTACAAAAAAACAAAAACGTGCAATTAACATACTACCAAAAACACTTTTCAAAATACCAGTCATTCGTAAAACGGGTTCTGAATTATATAGACGGAAACCAATATACACATACGCAGAGCATATAATAGTTGATGCCTTATCTTGTGAAAGACATTTTTGTCTACAGGCGAAGTATACTAGTTCTTTTTAAGAAAAAAAAACAACAACAAAAAAACAATTTAAAATATTACCTGATGGCAACACATGTATGGTGGTTTGGGAAGGTCCTGCAGGTACAGATTGTGTCTGAAGACTATTTGGCTGTGAGGATTGTGTAGGTTGTGAGGGGCGACCTGTAACTTGGGATGACGGAACTCCAGAGCTAGTCCTCTTTGATTCTAAATAAAGAAGTTTAGGTTTAATGCACCCATTGGTACAGAGGCAGGAAGATTACATCATACAATGCATACTGCATTACAGAAGTGTAAAAATTTTTAACCACTTCTAAATTAAAAGATTAACATTGGTAATTAAGGAAATGTAAGTAATAAATACAGAGAATAATGTTTTTGTTTTGCACTTTATGCTGCTAGTGGAGAAGCCATAACTAATAAAAAAATCAATACCTAATAAGACATTAAAATTATTAACTTGATATCAACACACAAGCATCATGTTTTGCATTATTAATCACATGTAAATTTCTTCTCGTAATCATAAACCTGACAAGGATTATGAATGTTAAAATTCTCATTAGTACACACTTAATTTTATTTAAGTCAAATATAGATTTTTCTTTTACGCTGACATTTTCGGTGTTCAGATTTCTGCATTACAAAGACAAACCCAGTAAGTATGAAATACCCCCACAGTCCAGGCTGACTGAAATATAGAAACCTCACATGCTTGCCTGCTAATAGCCTTAGCAAGGTTTTTTTCTTTTTAAATCTTTCTTTTGGAAGACATGCCATAATCTCATATTACCACCAAGTCTGGATAATAAGCACAAAAGAGCTTGCAGCAGTCAGAAAAGGTAATTAATGTGTGAGAGGGTTTTTTTATTTTATTTTTTTCACTTCTACTCATTGAGATTATGAAAACATAGGTGTCACTCTATTCTTGCAATAATAAAGTTGCCTTTTATTTAAAAAATGAGTGTCATTTACCTTGAGATGCTGCTTCATGATCCTCTTCATCCAATGTAAGGTCAATAATTCCACTTCCAGCTTTCCCACTCTGGGAATAAAATAAAAAAAATTCTATTGATTATCAATGTTATAATTAAAGAAACAAAAAAACAACAACTCACATTCATATGTAGTCTAGAAATGTGGTGATTCACAAAACTGAACGTACTGAACATATGGTCAGAAAATGTACAGTTAAAGGGACATTGTAGGCACCCAGACCCCTTCAGCTAACTGAATTGGTCTTTTGCAGTTCCAGAGAAACTGCAATGTTAACATTGCAGTTCTAAGTCTGCCCACAGTAGCAGTCTATCAGACAGTCACTAGAAGCCTTTCTTATTCGAAACAGACCATTGGTCTAGTATCGGACGCGGGACGTCCTCACACTCTGCATGAGGACATCCAGAATCAGATTTTTCCACATAGGGACAGAGGAGGGGGCGGAGCATCGACCCAGTGCCAAGGGACATCTGCGCTGGTAAAAAGATAAGCAAATAAAGGGTTTTAAACCCTTTATTTACCTGGTAGGGGGAAGCAGAGGGAGCTATAGGGCACATATAGTATCCCTTTAAATAATAACCCTGAAAACATGTAAGCTGAGATTAGATGCACTATATCCATCAATATAGGTTAACACAACAAGCAGTCCAGCTGATGCTTCCACTTTTGGTGTCTGTAATTTCCCTTTAATACTCCAAGAACAAAAACCACTGTAGATTGCATCTCGTGTCTTGGCGGTCTCTATGTCTAGGAGCATTAGTGGGTTTGTTCTACGCTTATGTCTGCCCCTTGGAAAGTTCGTTCCACTAAGAACGCTTCAATCCAGGTGGGGGAGAATAGGCAGTGAGAGGGGGAGGAAAGGTAGCAGTGGGCATTTGGGAGGGGGGGGGAGAGGAAACATCCAGCGTAAAGGCGTCTGAAGGGCATTCCAGTTGTTTATGCTGAGGAGATCCCTCGGTCCCAGGGTCAAGTTTCCCTCCCGGCTTTCGGTCATTGCCTGTGTTTGTCAACCAGGAGTGACATTAATACCCGTGAATTCTCATAGATTCAGGTATAAAGTGTAGTGTGCATGTTAGCCAGATCTTAGGTGTTCAGGTTGGGTGTTTCAACACCCAGTTTTCCCAAACTTCATGTCTCCAACTATTGCGAGTCAGTACTAGAGTTATTTTGGATTCGTATTTACCAATTTGGGAAATATGTCGGATTAGCTCTCGCATAGATGCGTTATTTGCGGATAGCCAGTTTTACTTGCAATAAAGTGTTGTGCCGCTACGAGTAAGTGAAAGATTAAATATCTAACTGGTTTGGGGTATTTAGTCTTGAAAATAGAGAAAAAGAGAAGTAAGGAAGGGGAATTTGGTACTTTGACCGAGGTGTGTTATATTAGTGATTTGACATCTCTCCAATATGGTTGGATTTTCTAGCAGTTCCACCATGTGTGTAGGAACGAGCAAACCTCTTTTTTGCAGCACCAGCATGTGTTTGGCATGGATGGGCGCATAGTAGCAATTCGTGTAGGGACCATGTACCAACGGTAAAAAAGTTTACGGGTTAGTTCTAAGTGAGAAGCACAGAATGTCAAACCCCTACACATATTTACTGAGGCTAACCAGGTCGTTTCTGGTAGTTCGTCTTAAATCTTTTTCCCACGATTGTACGCAGACAAAGGACTTGATTCCAAGTTTGGGCAGTAGTAGCGTGTATATAGCTGAGATAGGTTTGTTCACCAGCGTTAACATCATGAAAATCTTTTCAAAGATTGTGGGGTCAACATTGACCTGTGGTGTGGAATGCAGTGTATGAGACCTCCACCAAGATGTCAGCTGTAAGTAAGAGTGGTGTGCGGTGTTGGGTAGTGTATAACTGCCTTTCAAGTGTTCGAAAGTGGCCAATTTACCCTTATCCAAGAGAGTGTATAGATAGAACACACCACACCTATTCCAAACTCTGTAGTTAAAGTCAGGTATAATAGATGCGAACACCTTAATAGGAGTCGAAAGGGGGTTGGGTGGCAGCTGCACAGGAGTTTGCTTGAGACATCCAAAATTTTTAATGTTGCTAAGGTGGCGGGGAGTGCTTGCAATGTGTGTTCCCTTTGGTGGGGTAATAACCACACCTCAGTATTGATATCTTGTCGGGGTAACCAGTGTTGTTGTATGGAGACCCATTGTGGTGGGTCGATAAGATGATTGATCGAGAAAAGACCAGCTAAAACCACTGCTTTGTGGTACAGTTGCACGTTAGGAAGACTCATTCCCCTGTAATATGGAGTGAAATGCCGGTATGGAAGTATGGGGGTTGGTTATAGTCTGCAGGATATCATCCGTGAAAAGGTTCAATGTGTATTCAGTCTCCCCAACTCTGACACCAGATATCACCTTTGCTGATCGGATGGACTCGGCTAAGGGTTCTTAGGCCATGATATACAAGAGCGGGGAAAGAGGGCACCCCTGTCTAGTTCAGTTTGTGATGGGGAAAGGGGACGTAAAAACTCGAGCTTCAGGATTACTATATAGCGATTTGATAACTGAAATGAAATGGGTGGGAAAACCAAACTTAGTCATGACCGCCTGCTGGAACGGCCAATGAAGGCGGTCAAACGAGTTCTCCGCATTTAACGACAATAGAAGGCTGTTAGGTGAACGTCTATGCATGGTGTGCAGAAGCGCGAGGGCTTTACCTGTGCCATCTGCTCCTTGCCTACCGTGCACGAAGCAGACTTGGTCGGAGTGTATGATGGTTGGGAGAATAGAAGTCAGTCTGTTGGCATAAACTTCAGCTGGGATCTTTACGTCTGAATTTAGGAGGGATATGGGTCTAAAGTTGGCGCATTGGACGGGTGGTTTGCAAGGTTTGGGTAGGGTGGCAACATCAGCTGTGAGCATGTCCGTCAGTATGGACTCCAGGGCCGTAGTTGAGGTGAAGAGCGATACTAATCGGGGGAGAGGAAGAGGAGAACGTTTTGTAATACACGTTGGGAAGCCCATCTGGTCCTGGCGCCTTGTGTGATGGTAGGTTTTGTATAACAGTTTCTACCTCTATTAAGGAGATAGGCTTTGCTAGGGATGTTGTTTGTGAGGTCGATAGTATGGGTAAGTGAACACAAGACAAGAAATCGGCTATTTCTTCCTCAGTAGGTTGATGGACCAGTGGATCATTTTTAAGGTTATAGAGTTTGCTATAAACGCTGCGAAAAGTTTGCTGATCTCCTGGGGCCTGATCACTTTTTCCCCCCCGATATTTTGGATTGGGCCTGTGCGTCCCCGAGTCTGGTAGCTAAAAGGGAACTCGCCTTATTACCCATGACGTACTCTAGTTTTGAGTCTGTGAAGGGTACGAGTCGGATTGGATTTTGGCTCTGTGTGTTTAGCGTCTGCAGGGTTGGGGTTGAGCAGATGGGAGGCAGAGGCATCTCTCAGTTTCCGCAACAGATTTAAGGATTTAGCTTGGGAAACCTTTTTAAGGAAGGAGGCTCGTCTTATGAACAAACCGCGTATGACGGCTTTATGGGCCTGCCATATCAAGGTCGGGGAAGTCCCGAGTGTATGATTAAGAGAGAAGTTGTTCAAAAGTTCATATTCAAGTTCCGAACAGAACTTCTCGTTCTGCAATACTCAGTCATTTAGTCTCTATGGGTTACAGCCTCGAAAGGTGAAGTCGTTAAATGTCGTAATCAGTGGTGCGTGGTCCGACCAAACAATGTCCCCTCTGCTGCACGTCTGAACCAAATTAAGAGAAGGGCCAGTTACAAGTAACACATCTATCCTGGAGTATGTCTTGTGGGATTTCGAGTAATAGGAGTAACATCTGTCTGAGGTGTGTAGTGTCCTCCAGCTATCGTGTAAGTTAAATTGCAGCAAACGTTTTGTCAACGCTTTGCAGTGAGGTTTGAGGGACCGATGCCTGTGTGTGGCGGTACTGAAGAGTCTAAGTTAGGGTCTAAGACGTGGTTTAAGTCACCGCAAATAATAGTGGTGCCCCTCTGTGCAGCTGCCACCTTCGTGAGCACACTGTGTAAAAAGTTCCACTTGTTTTCATTTGGTGCAGACACATTCACTAAAGTATACAATGCGTTGTTCAGCATTCATAACAATTAGGTATCTGCCATATTTATCATGAATCTTTTGTAACAGTTCAAAGTCAACTGACTTCTGTATGTATATAGAGACACCCCTGGATTTTGAGGTGTGAGCGGAGTGAAATTGGTTGGGGAAGTGTTCCATGCCAAATTGGGGGACCTTTGCTTTAGGGAAATGTTTTTCCTGAAGGCACAGTATATGCGCTGGTGATTTCCAGGTATCCTGAAGCAACATATGCCTTTTGTGGGGCATGTTTAGTCCATGTACATTATGGGAGTATACTTTCAGTGTAAGTTGCGAGTGGGGCAGCTAAAGTATGAGCTGGGATTCTGATAGTGCTTTTTGTGGCATATGCCAAGTTATGAAAATAGAGGGTGGAGGTATGCCTCGGGTTACTTTACTTTACAAGGGCATTGGTTGGATTATGATATGGGGGGGTGGGGGAGGACTGTAACCAGGGAGAGCAGATAAGAGGTGAAAAGAAAATCAAAAAATGTGACCAAACTATGTACAGTAAAGCCCGATCTTGGTGCAGGGCAGGGCAGGTGGCCTCAGCAGGCTAAAGACATTGTGGTGCTAAGTACAAAACATTTCTAAACAGTATGCAAAAATACAAAATTGGTGACTCAGACCTTAAAACATTGGTATGAACATAGAGCACCGTTTTTGTAACGCAAAAGAGGTTCTGCATAAAAATTTTAGTTGGCTAAGCAACTAGCAAAATGCCAGTAGTATAGCGTTGCCGAAGCAAAGAATACTTGTAGTAAGCTGTCAGTTTGGTACATGCCAGTCCTGGTCTACTCTTCTAGGCGACTTGGGCTCCGATGCTTCTCCTAGGACGGGCAGGATCCACTGATGTAAGAGCTTCACTCCGTCTTCCACGGTATGAATGACTATGGTAGCCCCGTTTTTGGATATAATTAGGCGGACGGGTAAGCCCCAGTGGTATAGAATGCGGTGTGTGCGCAAAGTCTCTGTCACCTTCTGGTAGGCCTTGTGTTGTCGTAGGGTGGCTGCAGAGAGGTCAGAGACTAGTCGAACACAGGCATACTCGGCCGGGAGGCCTTTCGCGGTTCTGCTGCGTTTCAAGGAGGAGATCTTTCATAAATTGAATGGGGACAATATCATATGCTTGAAGCAGAGTGTGTGCAGAGAGAGCTTAGAAATTGCTAGTCAGCATAACCCCCTAACACTTTAATACTTGATTTACTGGATTGAAAATGTCCAGCAGTTCAATTTTCAAAGAGCAAAATATGATTGGCAAAGCTACATTGTAATATAGAGAAAAGGGGCTGGGGGGGTTTAATCTGTTTTACATATTTTATAATCTGGTTCAAGATTTGCATTGGGAAGTCTGTGATTGGACAGACACAAAGTCTGGGGTTAGAAAAGGAGGACTTGCAAAGACTTCATACAAGAGATCTGCAGCTTTTGCAATTTTTTTTTTTAATTATACTCCCAGTTAAATGTTTTTTTTAAATAATTTAATGCATGCATGTTTTCTTTGGGGCTATATCTACTAAATAGTGATTTGAACAGTGGAGTGTCCCTTTAAGCCACATATTTATTGTGCCTTTTTCAGACTCAATATGTATGTGCCTTTAAAGGAAAACTATACTGTTAAGACTACAAACATGCATTCCTAATGCTATAGTGACCACCTAGCAGTGTGCCTGACCCAATGTAAAATAAAAAGGTAGTTTTATTTGCCTTTTCTACAGTGCCACAGTGTTCTCTCCATGTCCGCACCACATTAAGTAACGGATATCATCCATTTTGATAATATCAGCCATTGTAATGCTTCCCCATAGCCTAGTGCACATGCAGTACAAATTGCCATGCTGCATCATGCAAATGCTGCTCTAAAAGTATTATTAGATTTAGAACCAAGTTTGATTTGGTTCTCAAATAGAAGGGCCTCTGATGGCCGTCAAGAAAACAGGAACAGTGTGTGTCTAAACTTTCAATACAAACACTGCAGTTTCTACAAAAGTGCAATATTTTGGATTGCAAGGTTAAAACTACATTGAGATCAACTGGCCTTGGTGCATTTAATGCCTGTCTAGCAGCAGAGGACTTGAAATTTTCAGTCCTATTATAATGCAATATCTATAAAATACAATAAAAAAAATAAAAAAAAAATAGGAAATGGTCATTTCCAGTCTAGAGGGCCTCTTAACATTAGTCTGATAAGGTGGTTTTTATGGCTTACTATAGAGTCAAAGCTGACTGCTCAACTATTGTCAATATTTTGAAATTAAACATTTGTAAAACAATTGAGTTGCAGACTGTTCCACTTCACATTTTTCAGCAAATGTCAAGGGCACATAACTTACAGGTGTAGTGGTTTCAGCTGCACGTTTGCTTGCGGGTGTCTCTGATACTGGTGTTCGGTTGGCTTGTTCTGCAAGAGAATACATTCTTATTAAGGGTTCTGCAAAACTGATGAATATTTGGAAAGAACATGACAAGAATGGTTTGCTACATACACACACACATGCCGTATACATATAAATTTCCAAATTTCAACTCAGTTGCAAACTTCTGTTGTGCCCAACGTTTGAGGGATTTATGATCTCAGACAGTAGCATTAATCGTTTTCCCTATCTGAATTGATGCCGGCAAGTTTGAACCCCAAAAAAAACTAACAAAAAAAAAAAAGCCCCACACAAAATAAAATCACAGAATATAAAAGATACTCAACATTTGGGGTCATGGATTATTTTTTAAGAGGTTTCCTGAACCCCTCTGTGGCATTATTCTGCCATAATACGATTCATCATTATGTATCTCCTATCCACATACACACAAATACGCATTTTAAAGATTTTAGAAATATGTCTATATTTCAAGGGAAATTCAAATATATACTGGGAACTTTTTAACAAACAAAGTTTCTCAGAGTATTTTCATCTCAAATGGAGTAGCTTTACATAAACCGGCATATATAAAAAGTACACCCAATAAGGGGAATGTATTTTAAAATGAAATTCAGTTTAATAGGCGTCAACATGGATTCTACTTGTTGCTATATACCTTGTCTTGATGCTGTAGGTAATTCTGGTGTTGATGAACTGCTAAAACCAGACAATGGTGATTTGAGCTGTGAAGGCGTACGATTGTTTGCTTGATTATACACTCCAGTACTTCCCACAGGTTGCAGAGATGGTCTAGATATTTGTGCAACAGAATGTGATGGTGTTATAGCCTGTACTGCTAGAGTTGAGGCTACAGAACTAGCTGGTGAATTCCTCTGAATTCCTGGGCTAGGCAATGAGGAGCTGTTTATGGGTTTTGTTGCAGCCATGGTCACTGAAGGTGTTTTAGTGAGGTTACTCACTGCAGATTGGTTTTGAACAGGAATAAACTCTACATTTCCAGATTGCTGGTTCGTTACCAATGTTCCAGTTGTACCTTGAAGAATCTGTGATTGTGAGGGCATTGCCACTGGAACATGCAGGATTACTGGCAATGATTGAAGAGAGACAGACATTGGTTGGGTGGTACTGGCAGAAACTTGAGTATTTCCAACAACAGTTGTAGTGCTTGGTGCTGAGAGCACTGACGACATCACTGGAGCGGAAGTGACAGGTGTTGAAGGCTTGGGCTGGGTAGTTACAGTGTTTTGGGATGATCCAATACTTGAAGCATTGACTGTAAAATAAATAAGAAGGATATAAAATGTGAATTATACTAAAGTGGGAACTAAATGTTTCCCTCCAAATTATAGTGACAGCGATAACATTGAGTGACATGTAAGCAACTTTGAACATCAATCATTGGGAGACACTCACAGTCAATTAATTAAGGCCTATTAAGGCCAAAATTTATATTGTTAAAGAATATCGGCACCAGGAAGGACCCAGTTACGTATCAAGCCATTGAAAAAAAAAAAAAAAAAATTATTCCAAACCAGGGAAATCATGGCTCCAGAACCCCCACAGTGACCATTGAACAGGATCATCTCATAGTTTTAATTTTACAAATATAGATACCGCTAGTAAAATATCCAAGGTACAGTTTCATTTTATGGTCATGATTTGCTGCTAATTTTATGCTCTGAACAATTACATTTAGAACATAGCTAGCATTGGAAAATTAGCTTTAAAAAAAAAAAAAAATTCTTCTCACTTACTTCCTCATCTTTTATATTCCAGACTCACTTATATTAGACTGTTTTCAAAATAATATTGTGATCTGGTTTTCACATACATACTTCAAATAATTTAATTTCTTTTTTTTTGGTGTTAGAGTATTAATAACCAGTGCACTCCATTTTTTTACACAAAATGCAAACAATGAATGTTGTGGATGTAACAATATAATAAGTGTGTTGACATATTGAAAATGTAAATCACACAATTGAAGGAGGATAATGGGTAAATAAAACCACTGGCTGTAGAGTAATTGTTTGTGCCAGATTTAATGGTTCCAACAACTCAGAAACCATTTAGATTCTGCAACTTTGACATGTTACAGTGTAGAATTTATAGAGAAAGATGTGATAAAAAATGAAAACGTAAAAAAACACGGTGAAAGTATCTGCAAAAATGATCTGCTGAAGACAGGGAGGAAATATAGCAAAACTACATTAATGACTACATTGATTTCTTACATTGAAAGAATGTTTTTAAATGCCATGAGACAATTAAGTAATGTTAACTCCTGGCAATATAATTATTACAGCAAGCTGGGGACGTCCAGCATCACCCAAAAGCCCATAGGAAAGCATTGCAAGGCTGACCCGAGCCAGCGCAGAGGAACATTAGTGCTGTACAGAAGGGGTTTAACTAGTTTTTTCCTTCTGTATTCCTTCTTGATATTACATTTATATAAAAAACAAACGTAGCAGGAAAATATGATAGGACCTAACTTTGTAACTTACTTTTTTGCTGAATAAGCTTCCAGTCAGGTGGTGCCCTTCCCTGAAGGCTGGTATTTGGAGTGGACTGGGTTGCTGATATTTGTGTAGTGTTAGTATTGCGCAGTGGTAAACTGGATGGACTTGGAAGTAATGGTGCACCTGAAATATGTACAACATTACCACATCAACATTTAGCAACGTTAATACCATCGTTAACTGTTACATCTTACCGTATATACGCGAGTATACAACGAGTTTTTCGGCACATTTATTGTGCTGAAAAACCCCCACTCATCTTATACTCGAGTCACTGTCTGTATTATGGCAACTTACATAAGGAAAATGGTTTAACAAATGAATTTATGTGAATGTGCATAATATAAGAACGTGATTTACCAGTGGTTGAGGATTGCACAGAGGCTGTAGGAGTAGTCTCTCCGACATTTCTCTTTGATTCCAACATCTGTCTCACAGTACTGGAATTTCTATAACAAACAAAACAGATTTAGAAACTATCATAACTGAACTATACAAGTTGTATTCCCAGACTGGCATTTATTTCATGCAAAGTCACATACATGTAACATTACTAGTGTAATATATCTTTCCTGTTTTATCAATATTTTATTTTTGTGCTGCAAATAATTTGAATAATGTGGAAACTACAGAAATACACCCTCTCTCTAAAGTTGGTGTATGTACAAGCAGGATTAAGTTTCAACTTTTGTCAGGTGTATTTTGGTAAAACACAACATTTGGTGAATTAACCTTGAGGTATATTCATTGCCAGCACAATCTGAGCATTTTAAATTCAGTTTCAAACAATTGTTTTTACATATCTGCCTGAGGAATCTTTGGTGAAAACACTGAAAAATACTGCTACACTGAATTGTAATGATAATAAAAAAAGAACCTTTATTCAACCTGTATCCCCCCACCACAAAAAAAATGATTTAAAAAAAATCAAATATAGATCCATGTTTGGATAATAAACATCCCCTCAGCCTCAATGTTCTTGAGTCCTCACACTCCTTAACAATGACAATTATGTGCATTCAAAGAGCAATGTTACTCCAGGTATTAGCATCTGATGCTTTAAAACTCACCCCCCAAACTACACACTGGTGAAAGAATATTCTCCATCTCACCTGTAAGACACCGCATTACCACTTGGAGTGACTTCATTTGCAGTCTTCTCTGGTGATGCAGGCTGGTTGGCTGTAGTTTGCTTTTTTCAAAAGGAGAGTGGGAGAAAAAAAAAATGTTATAGTTTTGTAAGAATTACATTTACCAGAAAATAAATGTACTATTTATCAGATTCTTTACTTATTTTACCATGAATCGGTAATACAATAAAAATATCTGCCTAGTTATTAAAAAAATAAGAAAAAGTAGTTTTCAGCTGCCAAGATTATGCTCCTATCATAAGCTGGATTTTCAAACCAACTCACATTCAGTTTCCATTTGTCAGTAGAGAAGATGGCTCTACCCCCATAATTTTTTGCCTAGATTAGGTGTTTTTAATAAAACTAATAAAATTGTTCAGCACTAAAATAACTGTTTAGTAGATAAGTGAGTGCGCTGGATTTTCATTTTTACTGTACTTATTGGCCCCCAGCAGCACCTCATTTAAGTATGTTTAGGTGAGTGCAGCCAAACCCTTGTTTTCTCCTATATGTATTTACTTAGGAGTCTAGCCAGCTCCTTGGTTTTGCACCCCTCCCGTTACAGGTGCCTCATCTCAGGACCCTATTTAAGCCTTGTACTGCAAAAAACTCGAGATGGAAGGATTTCCCCAAGTGAGTAGCTCATTTAGCAGACAGAGTAGGACCTGCCAAAGATGGGGTACATTGGCGTTGTGGCAGGCTTATGCAATGTATGATCATATACTGTAACTAAACCCCCATGATTTTTTGCCTAGATTAGGTGTTTTTAATAAAACTAACAATTGTTCAGCACTAAAATAACTGCTTAGTAGATAAGTGAGTGGGCTGGATTTTCATTTTTACTGTACTTATTGGCCCCCAGCAGCACCCCATTTAAGTATGTTTAGGTGAGTGCAGCCAAACCCTTGTTTTCTCCTAGAGCAGATGGCTTGTGAGACATCTTATTTTGTAAAACATAAAATGTTGTTTTATTGTAATTATTTTGATGATGTTTTACGGACAATACATTTCTTACAGAACTTCTTCACTTTACCTCAGGTCTTTTCTTTAGGTCTTCCTTTGCTGCACCAAAACGCTTTGTCAGCCGGGCAATTTTAGCCTAGAGCAAAAAGATAAAGCAAGTACATTTTAGTTGACATTAAGGGATTTCTCCACAGTCATCGATAAAAAGGACAATCTGTAGTTTGAAAAACAGTCCCCAATTTATTTTGTACACATACGTAGCGTATGTAATTGCTGTATTTTACCTGGATTGCATATAAAACATCTTCATGTTTTTTGCATTCAATTTTCTCCACTCTTGTCTTCAAGTCAGCAAGGGTTGTGTCAAAGACTGCACACTGCAAAACATTTAGCTTCTCATCTAACATCTTCTGGATTACCTACAAACAGAACATAAAAAAAAAAAAAAAAGTATTAATATAAGAGTGGGGTGCGAATGTTCACTTGTACCATTAAAACATTCTTAAATAGCTATAAAAGTAATAAAATTATGAAATGAATGTTAAAGGGGCACTAAGCAATATAACTCCTACAGCTTGGTGTAGGGGTATGCGGTCTGTAGTCTGCTGGTGCTGTCCCTTGCAATAATGTCAAACCACTTAAGCATAGTTTTATAGAACACAATGAATCACCACTATATTGGCTGCATGTAAAATGTTGAATTAACACTTCAATGTTGTAAATAGCAATTTTGTCCAACCTGGACAACACTGATTGACAATGACTGTGTGAGTTTTGGGCTGGGTTATAAAGAAGTAGTATATTTCTAATTTGACTACCTATATTAACATGCTTCCCATTAATGCAAAACCACGGACACAGAATATGTGTTATGCATAGTCTACATAAAAAAAAAAAATAATAAAATATTACCATATGAAGTTTCTTGTTGAGGTCATTTCCTCCTGTAATTTTAACTTGTAGCTCAGCTTCATATTCTTCACTATCAAACCGCCGCTTTTTAGAACTCTCACCGTCAAGGTCTTCAGATTTAGAGCGTTTACGCTGGGAAACTACAGCTATAGAGAGAAAAACGTTAAATGTTACTCAGGCTTTTATAAGGAGCCAAATGCTGATAACATGTAAACATCTATACATCTCTATATATAACTATATATTAGACTTCCGCTACTTGTTAAGTCTATTCCTGGAACGATCTAGCTCTTGCTCATATTTTACTTTTCTCTCTGGAGTAATTCCAGCACTCAGCAGTAGGAGTCAGTGCCTTTATATAAAACAGGGAATGCTCTGGTGAAAACATTTCTGCAGTGTGCTTCCACCTCTCTCCTTACTTGAACGAGGTCCCATAAATAAAAAAAAATCCTTAAATGTTAACTGAAAATTCATAAAAACACAAATAAGCATGTGGAAAACACAGGAATAGATACAAATGTATTAAAAGACATACTTTGCTCTACTTGCTGTTCCTGTTCATTTGTCTTCTCTTTTTGTTGTTGTTTTTCTGCTACCGCTTCTTGATCTTCGGTTCTTAGAGCTAAAATGTAGAAAAAGAAAAAAACAAATCAGTTAGCAAGTAAATACATTTAATAGGGTGTTCTCAAGTGAACCTGGGACGCAAATTTTACCATTTTAAAACTGAATTTATATATTGTTCTAAACTACCTGGCTAGACAATAGACAAAAACTTTTCATGGCAATCAAAAGATACTATCCATCTGCTAACCGCAAATACATCATGTAAATACCTTTGTTTTGGGATTCCACACAAGAATTCACTCTGGTGGCCACCTTGCCTTTAGCATAAATTTGTTAAGAGGCTTAGGATGTATTCATTAAAAAGGACACTTTAGTCATACCCTGGGCATCAGCTCAACTTGTATTTGATAGATTGTGGCCTCAATTATACAGTGTTTTTCACTTTCATATCTCATTAGTATGGACAATAAGAAGAAAAATAAAATAAAATAAAAAATAAAAGTTTTTTTCAGCTTTCAGCCATCCTGTGTAATGCCATTACATTAAAATAATCATTTAAATCCTAGGTCAGAACTTTAGGCTGAGCAAGTCCAAAACACATCACAGCATTTGTACTGCCTAAGCCATTAGAAACCAGTTTCGTGATTGGCTTCCGTGGTCAAAATGCGTCAAATAGAGTGAACGGTTACACTGGTGAGGTTTCCAACAATACCCCAAGATATAACAGATTATGTAGGCCCACTGTTACAACAACCTTGCAACAATTTCAAAAGCCAAAAATGGGAACGGGAGGGGGACACCACACACACTAATTACCTTGTGAGCTTGATCCATTTTCTTCAGTTGTTTGAATATCACAGGGTTCTTCCTCATCAGAAAGACGTAAAAAGCCTTCACTTGGTCCAGGTTCACTATTTTCTTGCTTACTTGGGGATAGGTCTGCCTTATCTTCATCAATATTTACATCACTCTCAGAAATCAAGTCCTCAACTGGGGCCAGCTTTTCCAGAATAGGGACAATTTCCTCTGTTTCCATGGGTTCTAAACTATCTAAACCAGAACTCTGTAATTTGAGAGGTTTCTCAAATGCAGCTTCTGTGGCCGAAGAGGATTTATTTTCTTCACCTTTTGCATTCTGGTCAACCTCCATACTACTTGATATGGCTTCTTCACTAGCATCCTGATCTACTGATAATGTATCTGGTATATGATTTTGTTCTGAACTTCCACCTTTTTCTGCCACAACCATACCTAGAGTCTCTTCTGCCTCTTCTGATCCATCTACCAAAGCATTCACTTGCTTCTCAGATCCCTCTTCATCAAGGACCTCAATTTTGTCTCGCTCTTCAAGTACTTCTAGGTTTTCCAGCTCATTTTGTAACGACTCCTTTAAGATTTCCTCTTCACCATTAACTTCCTTAGAATCCTTGCCACAAGTCTCAAGAGTACTTTTTAGGTTCTCCTCCAACATTTCATTATCTTCCTTATATTGTTGGTCTGGTAATATATCTAGATTTTCCTGTTCCTCATTTAGACAGGTGTTCTCCCTCAGACGTTCGTCTTCCACTTCCTGTATTCCTTCTGAAAGTATGTGGTTATCCTCTTCCCCAGAAAGGTTTAGTTTTAGTTGTTCTTCCGAAATGTCAGCATCACATGGTACCACACTATCCTCTACTGGCAATTCTTCTGAGTCATTTTGGTCCTCATCTATAACGAGAGAATTATTTCCAGCATAGTCCTCTTCATCTTTAGCTTTATCTTGGCATGTATGGGTTTTAATATCACCAACACTTACGCTTATTTCAGTTTCTTTACTTGCAAGAGTATCAGAGGTCTGTATATCAAGTGTAAGTTTCAAGTCTTTTGTGTGATCGGAATTTCTTAAACCTTCTTTTATGTCAGAAAGTTTGACAATGGGAACTTCATGTGCATCAGAGATAACATCTGTTGTACCATTTATGTCCTTTTTTTCCGCCATGTAGTCTAGATCATGATGGGATGAGTTTATGTCTGAATCTCCATTTTCATGTTTTCCATTAAGTAACTTTACCTCTGCAGGTTTTAGAAGTTCCTCTTTGGCTTTATGCACGGCTTCTAATTGTTGTCGACCACTAAATTTCATTGTTTTACGTGCTTTAAAGATTTTTTTTTGAGGTTCTTCTGAACTATCCATCTTAAACCTAAAAAATAAATATTTTTTTTTTATATCATATATATAAAAAGTGTAAAACTTGTATACATTTTTCTGAACTTTACATCTGTATGCTCGACAACCACTTTAATAAATGATTTTGCTAATATTTAAACAAGTAGATATGCTTTTTTTTTTTTTTATAAGTAGTATATACCCATTTTAAGGACTACATTTAACCTATATTTTCATGTGTTCAGGGCACACTTTGAGATGGCCTCAAAGCACACCAATGTGCCATGTAACACAGGATAAATAACACCATTTTACCTATAGCCAAAAATACAAAACTCTGTAGATTTATTGTAACTACTACTTGAAACATTTTTAACACACCCTATAAAATAAATATTTATATATCAAACTTAAACTCATCAAGACACGTGATGCAGAACCCTTTATAGAAAAGCACTGATTCAATGCTTTCCTACATGGAAGCTTGGATGCATGCGTGTCCCCAATTCTTCTCTACAAGTAGCAGTGGCTTAGACCACACCAGAGAAGGCCATGTCTCCATGACATTGTGGAAAGCAGAGAAGTAAGCTGGAATAATGACGCAAAATTGTGATTCTGTATTGAACAATTTGCATATGCCCACCCAGAATCCTTTGCAATAGTAACATCCCCAATTTTATCTGGGGTACTTTTTTGTGACAATCTGTTTTATTGAAGGAGTAATATCAGCACAGACATATCATAGATGCAACAAAGAGTAACAATTGCACATTCTCCTGTGTTAAACCGGCCTATTTTTTATGAAAGAGAAAGGTCAAACGAAGTTCAAGAGTATGCCAAGGATGACAGGAGTACGATTAAGTCAGAGGTCTGGTAAAAAAACAAAAACAAAAAAAATTTTAAAAAAATACATATGCCAACATACATCGAAGTAAACATACTGACCATAAGAGTGACTATAGTAATGAAAATTAAACTGTGCTAAACAGGTTGTGTACTCCTAAGCGTGTACCAATCAGACCTATATACAAGAAAAAATAAAATTAAAATAAAAGTAAAACAGTATAAAGCAATAATCCAGAATGAAGAACTACAGCTGCTGTAAATGCCAGAACTCTGCATTAGGTGTCAGCTCACATCGAGAGGCAGTATAGTCAGCCAATTCCCATACTGGGCATAATGTGTGGATTTGAACTCCGTTTATCCAAAGGGGCTTTACAGCGGAGACCGGGAGAGGCACCCGTCCAGACCCAGGCCCATCAGAGAGCCGGCAACACAAATTCACGGACTGTCTCTCCGAGGTCAAGTCCTTCCCCATTGGGTGAATGTGGAAGGGCCTCTTTTTTGGTGCCAAACTTTGCGTGTTCTGCCAGTGTGTAGCAGTTATCTTACTCTAGGCCCGATTCGGCTTCTCTACAGAAATTCAGCAAGGCAGGTTACGGTTATGGGTAAGTCGGTACAGTTCTGACCCACAAGAGTTGGCTATAAAGGCGAGCGATCGGCCGCATCCCTTGCCCTGGAGCAAATAGCAGGACGCAGATAGCTTCAGGACCCAATAAGTGCTCGACACAGCCAAGAGAGTCGGTCCAAGAAGTACTCAGGTGTCTTCTGTATCTTGGGAAGCAGGTGTAGTTTCAATATGTGCAGGATTGCTTTATTTATCCAGTGAAATCAAAAGCAAGTAGATGAGCTCCTTTAGCTTACGTCCTGCTTGCTCGGCAACCAGGTCATGTGTCACCTTCTCAGAGACAATAATGCACACCTTGCAAGTGTCCCTATTTAGGAGAGTCAGTCACTATTTTGGGTGCAAATTCCCATGTCCCTCTATTCTCTCCGAATGTTCCTCTAGGAGCTCCATATTTAAATTTTTTTAAATGTCTTTATTTTTCATTCCACAGAGTAAAATACACAGACACAAATCAGAGTTGTCATACTTGCATGTACTGGGTCTCGCTTGTCATCAACAATAATTATGGAGTCTGAGTGAGTGAAGGGTGCATCAATGAGTGTCTGGTGAGGGGGGGGGGGGGATCTGTAGTAAGGCAGCATAAGTGTCGTGAGTGTCGACTAGCGGTAGAGCTATCTGTGGAGGCTTGTGTAAATGTATGACAGGCCGACTACTAGAGCTCCATTTTTTTTGTGAATGTAACACTGTGCTCCACAGAAATTATTCACACGGTCTTTAAAATTATGATCCTGCATCTTGCCACAACTCCACTCATACCCCTAAAATTAAAATGGTCCCCTTTATCCATTTGAAATGTTGGGAGGTATGAAATTATATACAACCTAAACCTTAATGGAAATATACAATATGACAGATGAATCTGATCTATCAAGTTATAATCCCCTTTGGGAATCTTGATCATTCATGTGAAACCAAACATGGTAAAATTGGTTCCCAAACTAACTCTTCATTGAAATAAAACTATATACTGCAAGGCAGGGCTTGACAAATTTGCTTGAAATCTGGAAGCCAGCTTTAAAAAAAAACAAAAAACAAACAAACAAACAAAAGAAAATTAGGAGACATTTTTCAAAGTCAAAACAACAATTCTTAAAGGGACACTATACTCATCACAACCACTGCAGCTTAATGTAGTTATTCTGAAGTCTATATAGTATCCTTGCACGCTTTCAATGTAAACACTGACTTTTCAGACTAAAGACAGGGTTTACATTGCGGTCTGGTAACACCTCTAATGACAGTCTGGTGAAGTGCTTCCCGTAGTGATGCATTGATTTAATGCATCTCTATAAAGAACAGTTGATTGCACAGCATGGTGTTTTGCTGCACATGCTCAACAGTCTCCCAATGTTTTTCTATGGGGAAGCATTGGATTGGCTGAGATCATCAAGCTTCATGTCAGCCTTGGAGGTAGGGCCAGCCGTAGTGTCACCAGGACAGCATTGGAAAAAGGGTGAGTAAAAATCACCTTTCCCATGTGATTGGAGGGGGGCAGGTCACCTAAACATGCACAGACATGCATATACTCACTGATTTGACACACACACACACACACACACACACACACCATTAATTTTATTATTTTAAATCCACCCACATACCTTTGGGAGAGCTGGAGAGGATAAGCTTTCCCTGGGGTCCAGCGGGGCTGCTGTCATCTCCCTGCTCTGCTCCCTAGAGCGTGGTTTAGTGATGCGGGGCCAGAATTAGATCATATTCTGCCTCCAAGCGTCACTATAGGGCACGCAAGGGAAAAGAGCAGGGAGATTACAGCTGCCTTGCCGCCACACTCATTTAGCTGCCCACCTTCCTCAGCTCTCAATGAGCAGACTGTCCACCTGCCCTCTTCAGTCCTATGTGAGACGACTGTCTCCAATCTCAGGCAGCTGGTCACCTCAGGGGCTGAACAGACTCACAAATCCCAGGCTCCAGGACAAAATTGCTAAACCCTGCTGCAAGGGTTTGGGAGTATGTCAAATTTCTCTTTAGCAATTCTGCTCAGAGTTGATATTGTCCTGTAATAAAGTGTAGTCAGGCATACAACCAGATCACTGGTTAAACGGATTGTAACTTCAAATGCAAGTTTCACTCCTGTATGTAAAAAGGAAAAAAGACTTAGCCATGATACATGATATATTTACCCGTATGAATTTATCCATATCAGTAACAAAAAAAATAAAAATGATATTGTGCATAATGTGTTGAAGCATCTCCTGCTCTGTTAATTGAACTTCAAAATTAGAGACACACACACACACACACAAAATAGGCTGATATGCAGGCTCTAGCAAGATCAGTTCATAACTAAACAGAATGGAAGTTAAAAATTTATCAGGAAGTGTGTGAGTCACAGCAAGTGGAGGTGTGGTTAGGGCTGCAACAAAAAGGAATTTAACTCCTAAATGGCAGGGAATGGAGTAGTAAGCTTGCACAGGCATGCTACAAAAAAAACCAAACAACTTTATTAAGCTAAAGTTGTTTTGGTGCTTTAATTATCTGTTTAACACATGGATCGTCAACCTGGTCCCTACCGCCCACTAGTGGGCGTTTCAGGATACCAGGTGGGCGGTAGGGATTTCCTCATTTGGAGAGATTGGGTAGGCGGGTGGGAGCCGGCGGTACCGCCATCACCATCTGCGGCCCCGGCGACAAACCACCGGGGCCACCCGATGGATGTGGACACAGAGCTGGAGGAAGTGACTGCACGTCACTCCTCCCAGCTAACACGGAGAGCCGTGCGGCAGGAAGATGGGAACTCTGACTCCCATCCGCCTGAGCCACCACTGGACCCCAGGGAATGTCACCCTCCTGCACCTTAAAGGTAGAAAACAGGAGGGTGACTTAAATATAATGTGTGTGTGTGTCTTTGTATGTATGTCTTGTGTGTGTGTCTGTATGTGTCTTTGTATGTATGTCTGTATGTATGTCTTGTGTGTGTCTGTATGTGTCTTTGTATGTATGTCTTGTGTGTGTCTGTATGTGTCTTTGTATGTATGGTGTGTGTATGGGTCTTTGTATGTGTGTGTGCCTGTGCCTGTATGTGTGTGCCTGTGCCTGTATGTATGTGTGTTTTGTATGTATGTGTGCCTGTCTGTTATACTGGGCTATAGTAAGTGGGCTACCTAGCTCAGCCTTCTTACTGGGCATTGCTTTAAGTAAAGGTTAAAAAATAGAAAGAAAAAAAATGAAGAAAAAAGGTGGGCAGGGGAATTTAGGAGGGAGAGGAGGGGAGCTGACGCACAGATGAGAAATCATATTATGCGCAAACAGAGAAGTCGTCTGAATATCACCGAAAGAGCAGACCTTAGTTTGTTCCTTATGAAAATCGAACCAGATATCAAATATTTAGTCACGCAGCATCAACCTCAAGGATCTCATTAATCACTAGTAAAGGTAATTTCAATTTACTTTATTGTTTTCTCATTAAACTTTATAAAGTTAAAAACATTATAAACATGCATGAAGTAGAAATAAAAAGATAAATGTACCTACATTTATTTTAAAATGGCCTCCTTTCTAAAAAATATTCTGCACTTGCGCGAAAACTGGTGGGCGGTAAGGAAATGTTTCCATCAAGAAAGATGCATTAGTGGGCGGTAGGAAGAAAAAGGTTGACTACTACTGGTTTAACATATAAATTTGTCAGCCTTGACTGGGATGGAAGGGAGGGAGCCAAAACAAAAAATGACTGATACTAGTTTGGCTGTAGGGGGTCACAATACAAAAACATCTTGTAGATGTAAAAAGGAATTTAAAAAAAATAAAATAAAATGAAGGCCTACGAAATAAGTCTCTATTATTAAAGAATGCCCGCCCTCAGACAAAATGAACTTTTCTTTTTCTTTAAAGTAATTTAGAGAACATATTGAAATACACTACATGCCCACATGATTTACTTGTGCTTGACAACAGTTTAAGTATGTACAGCACATTTATGCATACAAGCCATCATACAGAGTACAATAAAAAAACAAACAAAAAAAACACCACAATTTTAAATTAATTTCAACATTTAACATAAAAAGGTACATTTTAGAATAGCAGGATTATCCCATTCTCACATGACACAAATGCTACGCCCACCCCCACCCCACCAATGAGACTTCACCTGAAACTGAAAGATTTTTACAATAGTATGTCTTGCTCTTAACATTTTCATAAAAAAATTATTTCTTTTAAAAACCAAACAGTCAAACCGATTGTTCATACTGGTTGTGACTGAAATGCACTACACATATACAATACATACAACAGAAAGCTAAGAGAACAGCTGGGCAACCACTGGTGTTCAAATACAGGATTTCATATAGGACTGCAAACAAAAACAAACAATGAAAACTAACCAGTGACCCTTAATAGTTCAATAGCAAATAAAACAAGTTAAAAGATAATAAAATAAAAAATATATTTCCAGATAGAGGATTAAAAAAAAAAAAATAATTAAAATAATAATAATAATAATAATAATAATATATATATATAAATATATATATATATATAAATAATATTTTATTTATTAAGGTTTTCAAATGTGAAAAAAAAAATAAACATACTATTATAAAAAGCCATTTTCCATCCAATTTCAGACTCCCATCCTTTATCCTCATTCTGTTATGCACCATGCAGATTTTAATAACTAAAATAAAGATAAATTGCATACAAATGCCAATGTATCATCCATGAGACAAGCAGTTGCAGCGATTAATTATTGTGTTCTGCTTCTGCTCAACAATGCAACTACTCTTGTCTACAGATGCATGCTGCTATCCTCACAATTTCCAAGTACAAGCTGGCCCCCAATATAAAGCAGAAATCATGCAACAAAGCCGACGTTTAAAATTAAGTCCTAACCTTAAAGTAGCTCTTTTCTTTTATATACAAACCTTGCAAGACAAATGGCCATATGGTGTACTGCTCAGATTCCATGGCCCACACCTGCACAAAACAGGAAAAATTTCCAGTCCTATCCACAAGAGAGCTCCCTGCAGCTACAACTGAACGTGAATGCAGGAGAGAGGCAGACAACAGAGAGCAGATGGAAAGATTGTATGCAAAAAGGGGACTGTTCAGATCTGTGCAAGCCAATAACATGCATTTGCTTCACATCAATAAATATTGTGGATGCTTAAAGCTTTGTGAGCAAGGTGTTAAGTACATTCATAGCTAATGGGCTTTCTAGAGGGATGGAAATCGTGTTTGCTTTATAAAACAAACAAACAAAAAAACTAAACAAAACACACAATGTCAAAGGAGCCTAGGTGGGATATAAAGATGTTAATGTCAGTTATTCTGGAGGTTACTTACTAAACACCAAATCGTAGTCGACTTAAAACAAAACATGGCTATACTCACAATTTTGCCACTTGAGGTGGATATTGTCTCAAAATCAGCAGCTTTTACCTAAATTTTGCAATTCAGTTTTCAATACACTAGTTTTATAGGTCAATAAATTCCCTAGTGTCCCATAGCAAATTTGACATTTCTCAATTGAAAGTGTACAGTTTGTCCTGAACACATACTTCAGTTGGTAAATTGCATAAAATGGCATGTATAGTACTATTGAACTAATATGCATTACAACTTTAACAGTAATGAACATAATAGTACCAGGAGGAATATCAAGGTCTAAGGTCACAAAGTCAGGAAGCTAATGTGGGCTTCAATAACAACTCATGAGATGTCAGAGAGCTGAAGTATATATGGTGGTATGTCATACTGCGCGGCTACAAAAGGCAAAAAAATAATTTCAAAAAATATTTGTGACAAATTAAAAAATAATTTTCAGTTAAGTTAAGACATTCAGATTTCTTGTTGAGATATGGTCATACTGTACAGACTATTGAAAGTGTATAATCAAGCAGTCATTACATTGAACTACCGGATGACAACTTTCAAAATTATGTATGGCGATTTCTTACGTTGGATGATCTAGTGGCCATATTGATATAGGTAAGCAAATTCAGATTGATCATGTGCTCATACTCCTGCATCGTAGTTTGCAGATTTTTTTTTAACTTTTATATTAACCGATTCTCTTTAAATAGCATTGTCCCGTTGCAAGTTTTTTTTTTTGTTTTGTTTTTTTAAATCTTCCCTTTATAGTGTCTCTCTAAAACCCTTGGCTTTTAGTTTTGGAAATTCACATTGCTGCTGGCTTTGTGTTTTTGTTATATACAAGATAAAAAAAAAAAAAAAGGGGGGGGGGGAACGACTTTGACTAACTTTTCTCATAGGTATTAGCAATCTTTGGCAATAGGCGGAAAGTTCCATTTTAACTGCTAAGCTAATTTACCCACAGTGCATCAGTCAATAGACTCTCACAGAAGGGAAAACTGCAGACATCCCGGACAAAGGAGAACAAAATGGTGGGTTCCATGTAATAAGATCCAGCACAAGAAAGAAAGGATAAATATAAATAAAAAGGTAAGTGACAAAGAGAGTGGAGTACAATAACCAAGAGGTGCAAGGAAAGCTGAAAGAATAGCCCCTCAAAACTATTACAGTGCTGTTTTAAGTATTTTAACGGTGTATAAAAAAATACATTAAAAAACAAAAACAAAAAAAAACCTGGCGACCCAAGTAAAATATTTTTTAAATAAACACAGTCAACTATAACACATAATAATAGAGAGTTACTAGTACATTCAATTAGTGAAAATTTATGTGGCACATTTTACTTTTTCACTCATCAACACTAGTGACACAGATCAGCAATGAACTTATTCTCGCAATTTTGTTATTCTCTGAATTCCTTTTATTATATTAAAAAGAAAAAAAAAGTGCGTGTTAGGGGGAGATGTGTGCATGCATGAAGAGAAATGTTAAACATTTTAGTAGGCTACGAGTTAAAAGCATACATTACACAAACAACTCAGCACACTAGTTGTGTTATTAAGTGGTCAGTTCAGTTACAATGATCCAATATAAGAAATAAAGAAGTGAGTTATGAAATTTACAATTTAATAAATTTAAATATTTTTTTTTTATTCAAATCAATGACCGATGTTTACTTGCTTTATCGGCTCTCATTTGGTGTTGCTGCCAAAAAAACAAACCAATCAGTAATGCAAAGGTTAAATAATATTGATGGCGCCATTTAATCTTAGAAGTCAGACACACCTCAGATGTGCATGCACGCGCACACATCAAAATTTAGTGCTGTGAAATTTAGAACAGACAACATCTGTAGGTGGCGCACTGGTGATAGTAGAGATGTCCGAAAAAGGCAAGATCAAAAACCAAAGAGCTTAGTTGGAACCATGACCAGCAAGACTAATAGAAGAAACAAAACAAAAAAAAAAAAAACTTTCAAAATAAATATGTAATGATTTTAGAAGTCTGACATGTAATTTTTATTTATTTTTAACGAGCCAAAATGTTAATCCCATATTACTTAAATATATTCTATACATAAGGAATATAACCTCCCCCCCCCAAAAAAGGGTTTTAAAAACTATAGGGAACCCCCCCTCCCCCCCCCCAAAAAAACATACCAGGAAGGGAGCCCCCTGCAGCCATGATGCCATCAAAGATCAGCTCTCCCGGCAAAAACAAACTATACCAGACCTGCCTGCTGTCAACTGACTGTGTTAACAATTTGCATACTTCCTGCCATTGGATGCTTGGCTTCATATTATGCAAGCCAATCAAGAGAAGTTGAGCACAGCTGAATGCAAAAAGGAGGAGGCAATGGTGAGATCTGCCCAGCAACAGACAGAAGACTAGAGAGAGAAAAAAAATAATCGTCAGAAAACTTGCAAAATGGAAGCAGGCACCAGGCCCCGACTGTACATTTTAAACAGCCAACAAATTGCAGTGTATAGTTGTGAACAAGCCAGTAAAAATATTTCAAAAGCTACAAGATCTAATATAAATTTAGCATAATAAAAATCTTTACAGCTCTAAACAAGCAGAGAATGCAGACTCTTCTCACAATGCGGTGAAGCTGGAACTAGTAAATTGAATAAAAATGTTTTAAATCATTCAATATTTTATAAAAAATAAAAAAAGTGTTTTTAAAACTACACAAGTTCAATATACAGAAATCTTTATTTAGTCAATGGAGTATCCAATAACTTGATATTTGTTAAAAGCTTTTTTTAAACTTCAGCTACATACAAGTATAATAATTCACGTTAAAGAATGGCCATTTTGATCAGCAAAAAGCTGTGTGATCCGAAAGCTAAAGAATATCCATCTATATATAAATAGGACATTTATGTAGTATTTGCAAGGATGGTCTAAGCGCCAGATTTAAAAGTATTCTGACTGATCAATGTATTTCCAGCTCTGTTAATGGTACATATAAATCGATCACATTCAGGATATTCCTTGACCCAATTAGAGAGGTTGTATCAATCCCAGAAAGCCTTAAAGTCACAACCTCCAGGTTTGTATTCCTAAAGCTATTGTGTTCCTTTAAGTATGTCCAATTATGAAACTTGTAATTCAACAGCTGGAGATCTACATTGGGTCACTCTCCTGTACAGAGTTATTATGTGTTGATTGGCAGACCACTGATAAGGTACAGAAATACAGGGAGATGTGATTGACAAATTTATAGGTCACATAGAGAGACATACAGGTTCTCTCTTCTATGTCTGTTAAGGAATGTAACATTTTTAATCTCTGCACATTGTTAAACACATAGTTGGGTTACAAAATTTATAACAGTTCCGATACCATACACTGAAATAAGAGTCACCTGACTAAGCTTTTCTGTATGGGCAGTGTTGAATTAGGATGATGGCTAATGCCTGTGGCATCTGCATATAAACGAGAACCTTTCCACATTTATTTTGTGCATAAACATTTGAAAGGGATACTGCAGATACATTAACACCATCAATGGAAATTAAGTAAGAAAATAGAATAAAAGGGGGCGTGGCCGACCTGCTAACTGACCAGACGTGTACATGTGAAGCTCTGTTCCAACATAGGGACAAAAGTGGTCCAATTGTGAGATTCAGCTTCCAAAATAGAGACTACAAACACGCTTTCGCCCAAGATGGGGCACAATAACAAAAAAATTTGCATACCCAGAGACCTCCAAATTAGCCGATATTAGGCTCTCGTTTGACAGGCCTACACCTCCGGCTCAGACCAAGATGGCGCCAGGAGGCCTCAGTAGACTCCCAGCATGACAGACGAGCCTTACCTCACCATCAGCGTAGGCCCTCTGTTGTGACACGGATTCAGATAAAGACTCTTCCCCAGCGTCGAAGTGGGATATTAGATACCTTCTGAAAGAAATGAGGGAGGTTTGGAAAGCCGACCTCCAAGAAACGCAAAGAGAGATGGGGGCTCTCCAGCAGAGACTTACTGCAGTGGAATCCAGGGAAGGTGACAGGGTACACCACCTGCAAACCACAAAGATTCAAATGCAAGAGATTTCTCAACACGTCAAAAGACTAATCCGGACCGTCACAACACTAGAAGCAAGACACAGGAAACAATATTCGCCTCCAAGGCATCCTGGAGCGCATCGGCGGAGACGCTCTACGGCCATATGTCCAGCGACTATTGGTCACAATGGGCATCAAAGGCAGCGGGACACTACTCTCTGTATTACGAACCTGGAAAGCCGCAGCAGCTCCAGATGACGCACCCAGGGACACTGTAGTCGTGACCAGAGATGTGGCTATTATGTCACGTCCAGAGACCTAAGCACTATACAATTTGAGGGAAGCACAGTGGCTATCTATGGAGACATCCCTTTTGCAGGGGGGGGGAGGGGGGGTGGCTCCCTGCAGGTCCAGATTTGTTAAATATAGGTAAAAGTAAACAATATTAAAAGTTGCAGGAAGAGTGTTAAAGCTTTTTTTGTACACTAGGGAGACAACTGACAGTGTAATAGAATGAATGTATATGTTTTTAGTATGAGTTTGCGATGAGTAAGTCTTAGCGGCATTCATTAACTGAAATTGTCAAATGCTGTTAAAATTGCACGAAAATAGTATATTTAAAGTAAAATGAGCACTTACAGTTTAGCTGCAATGGGATGAGCAAGACAACGGGGTTCAGGAAAGTGTCATACTGTTCCTGGCTGCATTACCGCCACTACAGACTGTAGTGGGTATGCCATTTAGAGTACCCCTTTTTAACATACATAACATTTTGTTGGGCTTTTTCCTTCACAATAGAATGTCTATCTTCTTATTATTTGAACTATTACATTCTAAGCAAGAGAAACAATAGTGTACTGCAATATGATTCCTTGCAAAATCGTACAAGAAATTAGTGACCATGTACATGTATGGTACACTCTTATATGAAGAGTAATCATCCCATCCAAGTAAACCAGAAGTAAGAGACTACAAATAGTGGCGTGAGCACTGTATTTTTCCCCCCACTATCAATGTCAATAAAATGAGTGATGCACTGTAAAAAAACAAAAAACACATTGAGATATGATTTGATCATGTAGAATATTATAGCAAAGTTGTATTTATAAAATCTAAATAACTTTCATGCCACTGGCAGATACACATAATATAACATGGGCAATCCGGTTACTACGCCGAACGCTATTTGAAAGAATTGCCAACAAAATGCAAGTAGGTAGAATAGTACATTCCACTGCTAATCTCTCCTGTTCGTCCTAAACGGTTTAATGTCATTTATACACCATTCTTTTATTTGAACTTTTAGCAAAAGCCATATTTGGAAGCAAATGTAAAGACATGTTAGGACATTTTTTTCCATTAATAGAGAACATTTTGTCAACTTAAGCTTGTTAATTTCCATATAGATACCCATGTATCCTAAAGGGTTACCACCAACCAAGAAACAGTGTTAAGAAATCGCTGTCCCCCTCCCCAGACAATAAAAATGGAGAAAAAGAATAGTTAAAACTTGGATCCATTTGAGCACCAAGACCAAGTTTTCCCTGCTGTCTGATTCTTCTCAAAAAACATAATTAGCCAACACTGGAGGGAGGTTGGGGAGGTGTGCCGTCTTTGGCTGAAGCCAGTGAGCTGGCATCAGATGCCAAATATCCACAAAATTCCCATTAGCCAGCCCAAAACTTTACAAGGCCACATATTTCACATGCTAACTCAAAGAACCATGACCACTTCAAATCAGTGAAGAGGTCAAGGTGCTCGATAAACCTTTTAAGTAATGGTTAGTATCTGAACTCTCCCTGCAGCTACAAAAAGGAGCAAGATTATATCAATTGACTGGATTAAATATAAACTCATTTTGTTTTATTTTGTCTTTTAAAGATGAAAAGTTAGATAATACACATGTAATCTAAGAGGAAAAAATGCACTTTTTAAATGTCAATAATCAGTATTTCAACAATGGATACGGACGCAATCTGATTAATAAACCATTACACTTTTTTTTGTTCAATCCCACTTCACTTGCTAGGCAGAGTTCAAACACTAGAGTGTGCTCCTTCAGCAAATAAAAAAAGGCTACAATTTAAAATGGTGAGGTCAAGAAAAGCTTTTGTTCAGTATAATATATTTAATTTAGGTCTCTGTATTAGACAACCCCACTAATTAGTTATAAAATCGACAATAGCTTCTGCAGCGCTGTACTGTTAGCCAATATAGGCACATCTCGATATCACAGAGTGCCAATGCTTTGATTTGTTTAGGTTCTACATTTTAACACTGAAAGACAAAATGCACTAAATGTGCCTGAATTATTTCCAAAAGATCTATTAAAAAAAAAAAAAAAAATTGAAAAAAAAAAGCAGTTAATCTAGTTATCTAGTAACCATATTACATACACTTGATCACAAATAAAAAATTACAAGCATATGAGTACTTTTATGTATATTAAGAAATGAAAATTAAAGCTTAAGCAAAAATATCTGAACAGTCTCTGGTGTATAGCGCCCCAGGCAAAATCATTATTCCACCAAGACATACCTTGTCATTTGCCCCTCCCATGTCACACCCTCAACATTTGCATTATGCCAATGCAGCCAGACCATGCATCAACAGAATGCATTTTCTTACTCCTGACATTTCCACAAAAATGAATTGCAAATACAGTATATATGTGAGTTTTAATGTATCAATAGTAAATGGTCTCTTACCTTTTAAAGACTCACATGTGTCAGTTGCTTTCTCTGGAGAACAAGACACCAGCACCAACTCCGCATATGCGCAAGATGCACTAGTGTACTTCACACAAACTCAGATGAGATTTCTCTACAAATAAATTAGTGCTAGATAGTAGTTAACTATAATAGCACGCCTTGAAACAGCTTTGAAAAGCAGCTTAACAATGGTAAACATTTTTCTTTCACCATGAATAAGCAGTTAGAGCAAGTGGTAAGAAACTGCAGGTAAAAGCATTAAAGCAAATGCTATAGTGTAGTTAGTAAGCTCTGAACTCTTTGTACTGCTTCCTTTGCTTGCCAACTAGGAGTACTGCAGCAACTGTGTGCAGCCAGGCACCTCCCACATCACACAGCAGCACAAAAAGGCAAAAACAATCCATCACAGACTAAAGGAGGCCTTGTTCACACATCAGGATTCCTTACCCATGATGCCAACATACAAGCTAGTAAAGAAATGTATGATGACCTTTGAAGAAGGCACACCAATAATGAAAATATAAACTGTAGCAAAGATGTATTCCATGCAGCAGAAAAGAATCCAGTACACATGTTATGTGCTTCCAAGGCAGCCAGACTGCAGTTACAGCTATCTGGCGCCAGAAAACGTTTACATAAAAGCAGACATGGGTCAGGAAGAAACTACAGAAGGCTTTTGATGGTGAAAACCCTTTGCCTGCTAGTTCTCGAAAAATACCCTGTGCTTTTGTATATAGAAAAGATAGGAAACATAGAAAAGGGTGTAGTTAAATAGGTAAATGGTCTAGGATTTTCTTAACTGTCCAATTGAGTTATGGTAATTTGCACACATTTTACAAACATGAAAACATTGCGTTGGCAAAAAGTAATAAGACCCATAAATTGTTCCTGTATATCTATATCGGATATGGAGCAAGACCATTTAAAAATGTTTTTTTTTTTTTTTTCTTTCTTTTTTTAATAAAAAAAAAAAAAAAGGAATAATCTGTTAAAATGTCAATCAAAATTAACTGGATTACAATTTAACAAATTCTAGAAAAACGTAGATATTTGTGGATTGGTTTATACATGGTACAGACAATATTCGATATGGTAAAAGTCAGATACAAACAAACAGTCACAATAGAAAACAACAGGTGAATGGTACACCCATACATTAAGGCTGAATTCCAAGGGGTAAATCTATTAATTCATATTACCTGTTTATCTTGCCTAGAGAACTTGTGCATACACGTAGACTGAATTACAATACGCAACACAAGCATATTTTAAAGAAATTAAACAAGGCATTCTTAAAAAGGCTATAGGATATAAAATTTGAGTTTTTTTTTTTTTTTTTTTTTACTTTGCTCTGACATGAAGTTGAGCATATACATAAACTCTTATTAACATGTCTCTACCCAAATTAGTGCCGGCATTTTCCTAGATTGAAGGGGTAGAATGTAATTTCCCATTCTTGTCCTAAAACTGGACAATATTGCTTGGATTCTTGGAAAATAAGAATTAAATGGCACTCTACAAAACATGTAGGCACACAGATGTAACTTTGTTCCTGCAACAATGCATAGTTCAACAAAATGTAGACATAATTTATTCTTACCAAAAGATTGCTTCTGCCTCCTCGATTACAACAGCAAAGTAATCTTGTGGGGCAATTATAGGCATATATACAATGAGAAATACTGCCCTTTTGTATGCAGCATTTACATGCTGTTGTAAGGAATGTAAATGAGTAGTCTCTGTAGCATGTGAACACTACAGGGCAGCACTTTTCATGTCTACCCAACATGTGACCTGATGTATCCAGGTTAATATGGTTAATCTATCAATTAAGCAGTAGACCAAATTGTAGGTTGTTGTGAGGGTATTCTGGCAGATTCATTAGTATACACATTTCCAGTTTGGCTACTTGGCCTACAAATTGAAATTCAATCTAAAATTTCCAGCAAGTCACTTTAGTGAATAACCCTGCTTGTGTTTATTAGACTTAAGTTACGTCAGAACTACTTTCATGTTGGTTGTCTGCCCAACCGAGACCCGTTACTATGCATATTTTGCTGTATTAGCTGCATACCAGCATATTTAAGCAGTATAAAGTATGGAAAAATATGAATACCTGTTGCTTTTAAATTGAGAATGTAGTCTTGTGAAAAAAAAAAAAAAATCCCTCTCCTTGGTTTACCCTAATCTATTGCAGCTGTGCTCTACTTGTTATGACTGAGAGACTTATGCCTGCCAACAACAGCTCTTTTGTGTCTTGTGATGTGACTCATCGGAAAAAAACAGCTCCGCCTTCTACATTCCTTTCACCCTTCCCCCATGGTTTTCATCAGCCGTTTTTCCTGAAAGCATACTGCCAAACACACCCTTGCACTGCTGTTCTTGCATCAGCTCTAGATGCATGCACAAAGACTTATCTTACATGCTGCATTATTGCAGCAAAAACACTTAAAACGTGTTATTTATCTCACATGTAACCTTGAACAGGATTTTAGTGGATATGTCTATGCAAGTGTGAGAGCAGTTAAATAAAAACTCTCTCCATGAAATTGAAATTAAACCTGGTTCACTAAACCATCATTTTAATTGCACTTCCCATAGTTTGAGTATATTCTGAATTTATTTTATGCAACATCAATTTGTATGTACAGGATGGGGCCAGTTCCAAGTTAGTAGCCCAGTTTAGTACATTTTGTAGACTGCATGATAATTAAGATTGATTAAATATTAAAGTTAACATGTAATTGATTTATAGCTGTAAATATTAGGTTGTTTTATATAAAGTTTATTAGAGAATAAAAATTTAAAAAATTATATGACTAGCCAAGACAAGGCTTCTGGTTATTATTTTATTTATATAGAGCCAGCAAATTCCATAGCAGTGTACAATGGGTAAATGAAGCTTTTCAGAAATTCTTGGAAAATTATTTTAAAGGCCATTATTTTATGAAGCGCTAAATAAAAAGTTAGAAAATGACAAAAATTTGCCCTAAGGTTAACAAGTAGTGATGTCGCGAACCAATCTCCGGCAGTCCCTCCCTCCCAGACCCTCCCACCTCCTGGACAGCATCCATGTTGAAGCTGCCTTCAACATGGATGCTGTCCAGGAAGTAGGAGGGTCTGCCGGAGATTGGCAGGGATGTGTCAGCTGACCGGAGTTCGCCACGAACCGTTCGTGGCGAACCGTTCGCGGCAAGTTCACGAACGGTTCGCGACATCACTATTAACAAGGTATTCAGTAAAAAATAAATAAAAAGGAGGTATAAATAATTCTGGGGGCATTAAAGGGACACTATAGTCACCCGAACAACTACAAATTAATGTAGTTGTTCAGGTGAGATCTATAGCTCCCTGCAGGCAATCTAATGTAAAGACTGTATTTTTGACAAAATAGGGGACGCGGCTTCACGAGGCTCCCGGCACTGGAACCAGGTGAGTAAAATCCTCTGCCTGGAGAGTCCCTTTAAATTAGTCCAATACCAACACAAGAGGAGGGATGATGTCTCTTTAGAACCCAAATCATTCTGCGCCCCTACCCCTATGGTTATTACACTTTTCTAGGAATCCATAATACACAGTGCATTAAAAGGGTGCCACAATACTGTGTTAAAAAAATGCTGAATATTTTGCAACAACATACTGCTCTGTTAGTGTATACTTTCTCAATAACTTAAAATAATCAACTAGTCACAGAGATGTAATCAAGAAAGCACCATATATTTAAAAAAAAAAAAAAAAAAGTCTCACCCCCAAAGACAAATTGTTCATCTTTGTGCATTTGAAAACTTGGGAGGCATGTATTTTTTCAATGTCTACTAAATCAGACATTGAAAAAAAACATTTTCAAAAAGAACATTCCTTTTTCAAGTTATATGTGCTTATCTAAAATTGAAAAAAATATTTAAATTTTAAAGGCAATCCATGTTTTATACTTTTGTTCTGCATATGCCAACTGGATACATACATAGTCCAGACAATGTCCGTTTAGATAAGCAATAAAATACAAATAATTGACTTTTTGCACATTTGAAGAATTTTCCTGGCAAGTCTCTGCCCCCCATGTATAATGGAAAAGTATGTCAATTCATAATGATATCTAAATATGACCAAACGGTATGGTCACTTGTGAGTTTTTCATAAAAATATATTCTTTGTGAATTATCACATTTAATCACAGTTATCACATTTTTATCCAAATTGTTGAATTAACCAGAATAGTTTGCAAACCATAAGACAAATAGCTTAGTTAAAGCTTATGGGTCACTGCCAAGTTTGTTTTTTGGTGCTGTTGCAAAATGGGAGGTTTTGAAAATAGTAGGATGCCTTTATATTGCACATGAATGGTCTCTTACTTCATGCAGTTTTCACTCTGATAGCAACACAGCAATGTCTTCTGGATTCTTGCATTCCAGTGTTTCAATACTTTTGTAAACCAAACATTTTGAAAAACTAATATAATTACTGTTCAACTAAAAAGTAGACTGTATACAACATACCCAATATCTAAACCAAAATTTAGTTACCAGAATTGAAAATATACAATCCAGCTGAAACAGTTTAAAAATACAATTTTGCTGGTAAAGGGGTAAGTTAACACACATTCTTAAATTGTTTAAAAAGTGTTAACTAGTAGAGCCGCCAAAAAGAACCTTACAAGAACAATAACCATTACAGCACATTGTAGTGGTTTTGGTGCCTGGCGCATTGTTAAAAAAAAAAAAAAAATAGAAACAGGAAAAATAAAACATCTATAAGCAGCTCCTAGGCTGACTTTTCCATCACTCACGGAGGTGTCGAGGAGACGAGGAGTGATGCTTGGTGTGTTTCATGTACGAGAGTTAAACAGTTCATAAAAGTTTGACAACTACTGTACATCTATAGTGTTAATTTAATGGCACACAAGTAGCATAGAGGGAGCCCACTTGCAAGTGAAGGACATATGTAGTCTTACGAGGATAAAATGTTTAAATGATAAAATATGAGTAAGAAACTAGGGGTCAAAATATTTTTTCCTAAACAAACTAAAAGCGGACTGATAAGTGCGCATTCAGTATGATCCTACAATCATGAATATTCCTTCTCAAAAAAATTTACGGTATCTTGACCTGACCATTACACCAACAGGGACTTTTATGACACTGAATTCTAAATACATAGACTTTAATATGAGTTGGTCCCCCCTTTGCAGCTATAACAGCTTCCACAAAATGTGTTTCTATGGGAATTTTTGCTCATTCATCCAGTATAGCACATGTGAGGTCAGACATGGATATTGGAGGAGAAGGCCTGGCTTGCAATCTCTGACCAGGTTATCCCAAAGGTGCTTGATGAAGTTGAGGTCATGGCTACGAGTTTAAGTTTTTTCACAACAAAATCATCCAACCAGGTTTTATGAACCTTGCTTTGTGTACTGGGGTACAGTCATGATGAAATAGAATAGGGCATTCTCCAAACGGTTCCCACAAAGTTGGAAGCATGGCACTGTCCAAAATGTTCTGGCACAATGCAGTCAGGTAGGCAACGTTCTACTAGCATCCACTAAACCCAGACTTGCCCAACAGAGAATCGTGATTCATCACTCTACAGAACATGTTTCCACTGTTCCAGAGTCCAGTGGTGGCGTGCTTTACACCACTTGATCTGATACTTGGCATTGTACTTGGTGATATGAGGCTTGCATGCAGCTGCTCTGCCATGGAAACTCATTCCACAAAGCTCACACCACAGAGTTTCTGTGCTGATCTTAATGTCAGTAGAAGTTTGGAACTTTTTACCTATGAAAACAGCAGAGCTGTGGATTGTCTAGCATGGATGAAATTTCATGAACTGACTTATTGCAAATGCGGCATCCTATTACAGTACCACACTTGAATTCACAGAGAGCTTCAGAATGGCCCATTTGTTTCACAAATGTTTGTAAATGCATGCTGCAGGGTTAGGTGCTTGATTTTATACACCTGTGGCAATGGGTCTAATTGAAACAACTGAATTCAATAATTAAGAGGTGTAGCCCATCATGGGCTACAAAGTGCCACCATAAAGTAAGCAGAACCATTCTATGGTTACTACTATAGGAAATGGTGATACAATTTCCATGGTCCGTGGTAATGTCTTTATAAAGCACATTTCTAATATCATTTAAGCCAAGCATGTCAAACTCAAAGTCTGGCAAGGGCCACATAAACAAGGTTTAAGTTTATGTGGGCCGAAAAAAAAACAAAAAAAAACCACCATCAATTTTCATAGAAACGTAGGTTTATTTTAAAAATACAGTAGAAAAAACCCAGCATCCCCCTCTACTAAACCACAGCACCCCCCCGTACTGAATCCCAGTCCCCCTCCCCCCCCCCATCTACTAAACCACAGCACCCCCTTCTACCACCCTGTGTCAAATCTGATCCTCCCGCTGACACACATACATACTGACAGATACACACACAAACTCACTGACAGAGACACAGACACACTGACAGACACACACACACCCACCATTTAATTTATTGTTCCCTACCTTTGGGAGCTGGTCTGGAGATCTCCTCGCGCGATTTAGTGATGTCGGCTGAGCTCCTTTGCTGCATACACCGTCCCTTCCTCCCCGGCCGGGTAAGTGTTAGCAGAGTAGGCACCTGTAATGTGGAGAAAGCAGGCGCCTACTCGGCTATAACACCAGCATGTACTCGCGGCTCGACGGGCCGCAAAGATGGTCGCGAGTTTGACATGCTTGACTTAAGCGCTATTTTTGCAATGTATCCTTAAAGAATATAAATTCACTTTTTATTTCAAATAGAGATAATATCTGCTGGAACTACCCTTCCCACAAGACACCCAGCCCTCGGCATAGAGATCTATACCGTTTGCACAGCAAGTCTAGAAAGAAACAAATTATAAGAGGAAATCCCTACCAAGCGGTCCTTCTCACCATCAAGGCAACTACAATGCATGTGCTATAACTGCTTGTGACTATTTCCCTGGCCAGTGGAATACAGAAATGCAGTACTAGAGATTGGTACATTCAATAGCAATGAAATAGCATGTCAAAAGCATTGGGAGACGTGTACTCAGCTTGGAAAAGTGTTCCCCAAGAAGATTTGACATGGCTCCTGGCAGGTAAAGCATCAAATGCTTTATAGGCATATCAGAAACAAAGATGGAATAACAGGAAAGTATAGCTCTCTAGACCCAAACCCAGTGAAAAAATAAAAATTGTAGATACCCCAAATGACAGTGCAGCTTTATTCTGTATAACATATGGAAATACCAATATGAGTATGTTTCATACAATATATATATATATATATATATATATATATATATATATATAAAAAACGCAAAAGTGAATTTAGCCAAGGCAATGATTGTTTACTACACAAACCAGCACTAGACCTCTATAAACTTAAGATTGCTTGGTCGGTATATATCTTTGATGCTTTTCCTTACAAACCTTCTGTGAATAGATGCGATGTAGGAGGGGTAATGCCCTTGGAGGATGCAGAAGTTAACAAATCCTGTCCAGATCTTCCTAATGATGTGCTAGCAATCACACTAAGATTAGGCTCTCTCCACAATCTCTGCTGAGGTACACTGGCAACCTTTTGGATTACTACCAGTGATGGAATTGGTGCCTCAGCCTTCTCTCCAATTGCATTCAAAATGCTGCACACAAGCCATCAAATGCTGTCCTCATGTGGTGTCCAATACGTATCTTCTCAGAAAAGGTGGGTTCGGAATTGGTTTAGGGATAGAGGAATGGTTGCGGTGCAAGTTGGAAAATTAAGTGTAAGGTCTGATCATAAACGGCCAAATGAGCTGTTGAGAGAGTCGGTGTGGACAAGCCTAATGGCCAGCAGTCCGAGGGAAAATTTTAGATCAGGAGTGCTGAATTGGTCATCTTCCTCTCCTGAGTAGACCTGCAGGCCTCAATCAGGGAGATAAGGTAAACACATGGACACACATGGTGATTATGTAATACTTCAGGCCATAGTTGTTTCAGATTGTTCCCTATGCAATAAAAGGTAAGCTTAGCTGCAGTAGGTAGCAGAAAATATCATGCTGCAGCCTTATTTCACACAGCAGTCAAGCCCATCACCAATTTTTTCAAACCTGCCATTATGATGTATATGATCTAAAGTTTCCAGTACCAAGAATGAATTTTAAAATATTTTTTTCTTTTTTTTAATGAATGCTCCCCCCCCCCTAATAAAATTGTAGATGATCAAATGTATCTAAACAAACCTATCTGCAATGGCACAGGTACATATTTATGCATGTAAGTGGAAGGTATGCATTACCACTAAAGTGTGTTCGATATATATATAAAAAAATATATATAGTTTTGAGTTTTATAATCTTTGGGACTTTGATGAAATGCAATTAAGATTCTCATACTTGAGACACACAAAAACAAACAATATATTACCCAACTGCCTATCTTAAATGTTTTCGATTAACAAATGATCATTACCAGCATTGCAAGAGTTAAACAAACAGCATGCATGTCTGCTATATTCAAAGCTTTACTCAAATATACTGAGATCTGAAAATCCAATGCAATGGGTAATGATAGGAAGTACAAAACGTTGGCTGTTGCATTTGTCCTAGAATGTTCTAGTATACTTGGGAAAAAAACCAAAAAAAAAAAAACCATTTAAGCATTGTGTTTATTACTCCACCCTCTTTTCGTGTAAAAAATTCTCAGGCAGGCACTGTGATAAATCAGGTAGATTTACTGGACACTGCAATGTGTTGACCTACACCCAGGTCTTTATCAAGTGCAGTGTCATGAAGTGCCACAAGCAGCTAATTTACAAAGTACAGAGAGGCAAAGTGCAAAAAAAAATAAAAAATAAGACTTTTTGAATTATAAACGCAGAGGTGGCCAGAGGCTGGGCTATTCCGAGACATTGTCATACATAACGGTAAATAAAGGGTTAAAGCCTTTGCCTTAGTTAAGTCCTTCCAAGTCTGAAAGGGTTAAAAGTTAACATCTTCCCAGCACATTCCTTTGCATTAAAAGTTACTTTTGTTTTAACTTTAGTATTCTAGCATAGTTAGATAACACTTTCTCAAGTAATTGTCGCTTGTTTTAATGTACACATGCGCAGTAGACTGATGCCATTTTATATAAGCAATGCTCTCCCAATTAAAGAAGAGGAGATGACATTTGAGCTACAACAAAGAAAGTCTGGTTTTATTATCGGTTCTCCCGAGCGCTCGTACATCTAATTACGAGCTTCTGGTTATCTCTTGGATGATTTATCCACTGTAAATTTCTATATGAACATTTTGGCTGACAGACAAGTTTTCCCCCAATTTTTTTAAATTATATATTAGTTTTAAGACACATTACAGAGAGTATAAATGCAATGCAGCTCTTGTTATACACTTAGACACACCAAGAATATGTAACTCATAGAAAAGAGAGTACTGAGAAATTTGGGCCTAAAATTGGGACACTTGGCGGTATGAAAGTAATTAGCGCTCACTTACTTTAAAATAACCGACAACTGATAAAAAAAAAAATTAAAAAAAAAATAAAATGCAGCTTTTCAACACAATTTTATCATCAGAAGCATGAATGGGCAAGTTGACTGGCTAGAATAGAACTTGCATCTCAACCGTTATGAAAACTAGAACCAAAAGCTCCATGGAAAGCCAAATATCAGATCTATTAAATTCACACAGAGATAGATATAGTTAACATTGTATTAAACAAAAATCTGCACACCAATCAAGCCATAAGACTTGCTTTTCCCACAGAAATCACAAATCTGCAGTGATTTTACTACAGCAAAGGATTCTGGGTGGGCATATGCAAATTAGTTTAACAAAGAATCACATTTTAGCCTCATTCCATTTTAAACATGGATTCCTTTGAGTCTGTGTTTGCTGTATACAACAGCTTTGAAACACTATGAAGAAATGATTGAAAGCCAGTAAACCTCTCATGGACAGAATCATTGTTAATGCAAATCATCAGCACGAGGTTGGTTACTGGTTTGCTTATTGAGGCTTGGTAGTGCTTGGGAAGCAAAATCCAAATAGGTTATGGTGGGGAAAAATTGTGATTGAAAACCCCTTCCACCTGAAGTCTGTGGATAGTTAATACAATGTTAACCCCTTAAGGACAGTGGGTTTTCTATGCCTTCCTTGGGGACCCGGCTCTAAACGCCAGTGGGCGGCACAGAACACCCAAGCCTATGTACTTACCCGGTCTTCTGTGATCCTACACTGGCGATCGCGGTGTGGTGACTCACCTGGGAGCCTTCCTCTCCGGCCCCCCTTGGCCATGTTATCTATCGCGAGGTCCTTGCAAAGACATATAGCACAAATTCAAGTTTTTGTTTACATCACAACATGTACATTTGGCTCAGTCCTTAAGGGGTTAAACCAAAATCTGCACACCAGTCAAGCCATAAGACTTGCTTTTCCTCTCGTATAGTGGCAGTACTTACAAGTGGGATGTTCCTTCTAGTTGGGACAAGAAGCTTCTTTTTAGGATAATTGAAGTGCTCCGCCTGCTGCTTCTATATAACCTGCCAGTCAGAAGAGAACACCAGTTCTTCTTGTCCCGGTTAACGGGACAGACAAGTTTCCCCCAGGATCCAAGTGGAGATGGTGCGGTCAGCACAGGCTGCTGGCCGGGAAGGTGAGGCCCAATAGCTCCCTCCGGGTGGGAGCTGAGCGGCAGTGATACTTCCGGGTTTCGCGTTATGGAACGCGACCGGGTATCCGTTTTTGTAGCATCTGTGGGGATTTTCCGGGCGGACCTCCCACCAAGGAGCTAGGCGCATGCGCACATCGGTGGAACACACGCCCGGGTGGTTTTGCGTTATCCCGAATCGCGCTACTGCGCGAAACAGTGTTCGCAATTTTGGCGCCAAAATTTTAAATTTGGGTGCATATAAAGCTGTGCAGAACCTATCTGGCCCCAAGGGTGGGTGTACAGTCCTGGTTCTCCATGTCACCAGCCCTCCTACACACTTCTAAGGTTGTTTGAGGTGAGGTTTAACTCTTTAAACTCTCCCTTATCACCTCTTTTGCATGCTCCTATACAAATGTCTGTTTCTTTACAGATATGTCCAGTCCTATTTTACCAGATAAGGCAGAAAAAGACATGTCAGCCTCTGTTCCTAAAAAAGCCACAAATAAATCGTCGAAAAAGACGTGTAATCAGTGCGCTACGGAATTGCTAGTAAAAAAAAACAAAAAAAAAATAAAATAAAATTAAAAAAAAAACACAAGTAAACTGATATGTCTTCTTTCCTGTGTTTGTTCCAGGAAAATTTATCCAAGACTTTTGAATCTTTTAAAGATGCTGTTAAAAAGCCGGATTTTCAGGAGAAACAGGTTAAGAAACGTAGGAGAGATAGATCTCCCTCTTTATCTGATCTCTCATCTGGAGAATGCTCTTCCTTCGCGCCTTCTGATATTTCCAGCATACCTTCGAGTGTGGAAGAGGGTTTTCCACCAGAAGAGCTTAAAATGTTTTATTAAAGAAGTATCAACAGCTGTTCAAGAACCAGAACCTACCAAGGGCAAGGTTAAACGTTTCCCTATGCCTCCTAAAATAATTTATCTCCTTCAAAAAGAATGGAAGAATCCTGAAAGGCATGCGTTTATTTCAAAACATTTTAAACTTCTTTTCAAACTACAGTCTGAAGAGAAATGTGAGGATCTTCCCAAGGTGGACATTCAAATAGCCCAGCTGTCAAAAAAAAAGAGCACTATACCCATTGGTGAGGTCTCGGGACTGAAAGACCCAATGGACAAGAGAGCCGAAACTTCGTGTAGAAGAAATTTTTCAAGCCGCAGGCTACCAGTGCAGAGCCGAAATAGCAGGTTCAGCGGTTCTCAGGGCACAGAGCAGTTGGCTCCAAGCCCTTGAAGAGTCCCTCATGGGCAATTCTGATTCCGACCCTGCCCATCTTATGTTCCTCCTAAAATTATCAAACAAATTTCTTTCGGATGCCTCTGATGAGATTCTTTGTTTATCAGCCAGAATCCTGGGGTTGTCATCTGTGGCCAGAAGAGCTCTGTGGCTACGAACATGGACAGCTGATTCAGCTTCTAAGGCAGCCCTGTGTGAACTACCCTCTGAGAGGAACAAACTCTTTGGCACACCTTTGGAAGACATCAGACAGATGTCGGAAACTAAGAAGGCTCTACCTCTGGAGTCAAGACCCCAACAAGTATAGAAGATATCAGTTCAAGGGTTGGAGTTCCTTTCGTTAACAAGGGCGTTCTCGCAGATTTGAAAAAACAGAATGAATCCAGCAGCCAATGGTCTAGGCAGGATTTCAACAGACAAGAAAAAAAAAAAAAAAAGAGGAAGAAATTCTGACGCCAAGAGAGTAGGACGACGCCTTCGGTTCTTCACCCACTAATGGGTAAAGATAACATCCAACAGATAAATTCTAAGAACTATTTCAGAGTGTTACAGAATAAAGTTCTCTGCAATCCCACAACCATCTTTCCTGCTGTCAAGCTATCCATCAAAAAAGAAATCGGAGGCTCTCCTGGCAGAAGCTCCTTTTCTTTTGCAAAAAGAGGTTATAGAAAAAGTACCAAAACAATGTGAATTACAAGGTGTGTACTCTCGCCCTTGGTACAAAAACCAGACGGATCTTTTTGGCATATCCTGGACCTAAAAAAGGTCAAAGCCTGCATACCCTATCAAAGGTTTCGTATGAAGAATAGTCTGTCTGTCACTCACATCTTGCAAAAAGGGGAATTCATGGCAAAGCTAGACTTAAAAGATGCTTACCTCCATGTTCCAATGTCAGAATCCTCCCGGAAGTTCATCAGATTTGCAGTTTTAACAGGAAAGCGAAGAATTCTCCATTTTCAGTTCAAGGCTCTACCCTTTGGCCTGTCATTGGCTCCTTGTATATTTACGAAAAACCTGGCACCCATAGCAGCTGCTTTGCGCCTAAAGGGTATTTCGATCGTTCCGTATCTGTACGACTGGTTCTTAAAAGCCCAAATCGGAACAACTTCCAAGATCTCATCCCGAGATCACTATGATGAAAGAGCACGGATGGCTCCTGAACCTAAAGAAATCCCAGTTGAGTCCTTCATTGAGCCTGGATTTTTTGGGTCTTCGGGTGGAATCAGAATCCCTGTCACTTTTTCTTCCAATAGGGAAAAAGAAAGATTTTCAAATCTGTGTCAAGTTTGCAAAAAACTCTAGCCCCATCAGGGAGGCTATGAGTTTACTGGGCCTCCTTACTTCTGCAATCCCAGCAGTGGCTTGGGCAAATGCGGAATTAGGACCATTACAATGGGACATTCTCTCTCAATGGTCAAGGCGACAGGAAGATCTAGATTCTGTCTTTCACCTATCCGAAGTGGTGAAGAATCAACTGAACTGGTGGAAAGAAAGAAACAACAACATTTCGAAAGGCCTCTCGTTTGCTCAACACCAGTGGATTACATTAACCCATCTAGGTTCTCAGTTCCATCAAGGTGTTTGGAACAGGGAAGAGGCAAACGCTTCCTCAAACTTCAGAGAGTTGAAAGCTGTTTGGAAGGCACTGAAGTACTTCAGTTCAAGGATCACCAATCAAGCAGTAAGGATTCAGTCGGACAACGCCACTAAAGTGGCCTATTTAAACCGCCAGGGAGGCACAAGGGTGAAAGCTCTACAAGATCTCTGCTACCGCATCATGTCTTGGTCACAATCAAGACTTCTCGCGATTGCTGCTACACATATCAGAGGGTCTCTAAAGGTAATTGCAGACAACCTCAGCAGAAGTCATTGGTCCCAGGCAGAATGGTCACTATCAAACAAAGTTTTCTTGGAGCTGGTTACCCGTTTTGGCCGGCCAGATATAGACCTGATGGCCACAAAGAGAAACAGAAAAGTTCAGGTTTTTGCTTCTCTCCAAGCACGATATTGTCCAGACGGTCTTTCGATCACTTGGCATTTCAACATGGCTTATGTTTTCCCTCCAATAGCCCTCATTCCCAGAATTATTCAGAAGATAAAAATGGGAAAAAGCAAGAGTTCTAGCCATCCTCCCCTTCTGGCCAAACAGGAGTTTGTTTTCAGAGATGGAAAACACGACCATCTCAAGTTGGACTCTCCCAATCTCTACCAACATGATAGAGCAGGTGACTCTTCCCTTGGAAACCCTGGCAATGTTCCACCTGACGGCATGGCTTCTGCAAGATTGATCCTCCAGGGACATGGTCTTTGAAATCACTTATGTGACGTGTTGCTGTCTTCAGTCCGCTTGTCCACAGCTAGAATTTATTTCAGGGTTTGGTTAAAGTTCAGGTCCTGGTGTTCCATTCGAGGTTCGGATCCTGTCAGAGCATCAGTTCCGGAAATTCTGTCCTTTCTGCAGGATGGGTTTGAAACCGGACTAGGGGTCTCTACTCTCAAGGGACAGATTTCAGCTCCAAGTAATTTCCTGGTTCGTGACATTGCCTCTGACCTGCTTATCCGCAGGTTTTTTAAAGCCATACGGCTAAAATCGGCCTCCCAAGATAGTCCCTTTTCCTACCTGGGATTTGTCCTTGGTGCTTCAAGCCCTTTGTGAACCAGCGTTTGAACCATTACTAGAGGTTCCTTTAAAGCTTCTGACCTTCAAGACAGCGTTCCTTGTGACAATCACCTCTGCAAGGAGGATAGGTGAAATTCAGGCTCTATCCTCCTCTCCTGAATTCACAATTTTTCATTAGGATTAAGTTGTCCTGCACCCCAGGCCTCCTTTTTTGCCCAAGGTTTCAAGTATTTGCTTCCTATTCCGACCTATTATTCTGCCTGCATTTTGCCAGTCTCCATCGGATCTGGAAAGAAAGTAGCATCTCCTTGATGATAGAAGAGCACTGAAGATCTACCTTCAGATAACTCTGGATTTTAGGACTTTGGATCATCTCTTTGTCTCCTTTCAAGGCACTCACAAGGGTTGTGCTGCTTCCAGACCCTCTTTATCCAGATGGCTGACCAATGCTATTAGGTTAGCTGATCACTCCAAAAGGGACTCCTCTTAGATTTCCGTTAAAGGCCCATTCCACTAGGCCTATGGCAACCTCCTTGGCAGAAAGAGCAGCTGCCTCACCTGAAGACATCTGTAAAGCAGCCACTTGGTCATCGTTTCATACCTTTATCAAACATTATAGGCTGGACATTTTCTCATCATCTGAAGCTGCTTTTGGGCATAAGGTGCTTTAGGCAGTGGCCTCCCGAGTCCCCACCCTTTTTGTTTCCAGGGATCTTGGAGAGTTATCAAACCAAAGTCTGTAATGTCACAGTGAGGAGACGTGTGGCTAGAGCTGCATAAACAAAGTTATTCACTTCCTAAGTGGGAAAGAACTTAGCAGTGAAATTGCAGAGAAGGATAGCATAAAATGTAGCCTAATAAAAGTTAGTGAGGCGAACATAGAGTCCGTTTGGGTTACGTTACAATTTGGTAATCACACAGTAACTCATGTAGGTGTGATTTATAGGCCCCCAGGACCAATAGAAGAGTTAGATAATCTACTAGTTGATGAAATAGCTAAAATGGGGGAAGGTATCATCATGGGTGACTTTAATCTTCCTGATGTGAATTGGAAAACCAAAATAGCTGCTTGTGCCAGGAGCACACATATTCTAAACTCCCTACTGGGATTGTCTCTAAAACAAGTCGTTGAGGAGCCAACTCGTAAAGAGGCCATACTAGATTTAGGGTTAACAAATGGAGATTTGGTATCAGATATTATGGTGAGAGTTTAGGATCCAGTGATCATCAGTCAGTGTGGTTTAACCCCTTAATGACACATGACAAATATTCCGTCATGATTCCCTTTTATTCCAGAAGTTGTGTCCTTAAGGGGTTAATATAAGAACAGTAACTGAGTCAGCACACAAAAAAGTTTTAGACTTTAAAAAAAAAACAAACAAAGAAAAACGGACTTTTCTAAAATTAGAATTTGTAAAAGAAGTCATTACCAGAGTGGAGCAATTTAAATGGAGTCCAAGAGAAATGAGATTATTTAAAAGTTGCACTGCTGAAGGCAACAGAAAATTGCATTTGGCGTGTCAGTAAAAGCAATAAATTCAAGAAACCACTGTGGTACTCTGCAGATGTGGCAAAAATAGTAAAAAACAAAAAGTTAGCATTTAGTAATTATAAATAAACCCAGAGTGAGGAAGAGCGAATGATCTATAAGATTAGGCAGAAAGAGGCTAGGCAAGTTATAAGAGCTTCCAAATCACTCACAGAAGAGAAAATAGTGAGAAAAAAAAAAAAAAGGGACAAAAAACAGTTTTTAAGATACATAAAATGAGAAAAGGAAAGTAAAACAAGGATTAGTTAGATTAAAAAAAATAAAAAAGGAAGGAAGAGGATAAAGGTCTAGCTGACTGCCTCAATTAATATTTTGTTCAGTTTTTACAGATGAAAATTAAGGAAGGGGGCCTCAGTTAGGAAAAAGGACAAAATGAATCATTTGTTACATGTGAGTTTACAGAGGAAGAGGTTCTATTTCAATAAATATAATACTAATAAGAAAAATAATAACTGTCAAAAGTAGAAAAATAAGTCAATGGAACCTGAAGGAATACACCCAAAGTTATTAAAATAGCTTAGTGGTGTACTAACAAAACCATTAACAGATTTATTTAACCAATCATTGTTAACAGTAGTCGTCCCAGAAGATTGGAAGTTAGCGAATGTTGTGCCCATTCACAAAAAAGGTAGAGGAGTCAGGCGACTATAGGTCAGTAAGCCTTACTTCAGTATTGGGGAAAGTACTCGAAACCATGTTAAAGGATCGGATTGTTGAACATCTAAAAACACATGGATTTCAAGATCAGAGACAACATGGGTTTACTTCAGGGAGATCATGCCAAACTAATCTTATTGATTTTTTTGATTGGGTAACTAAAATTATAGATCAGGGTGGTGCAGTAGACATTGCTTACCTAGATTTCAGTAAGGCTTTTGACACTGTTGCACATAGAAGGCTTATCAATAAACTGCAATCTTTAAGTGTGGATTCCAATATTGTTGAATGTGTAAGGCAGTGGCTGAGTGACAGGTACAGAGGGTTGTAGTCAATGGAGTATATTCGAAGCTTGGGCTTGTCAACAGTGGGGTACCTCAGGGATCTGTACTTGGACCCATTCTCTTATAAGTTTTTATTAGTGGTATTGAAGAAGGTCTTGATGGTAAGGTATGTCTTTTTGCTGATGATACTAAGATATGTAACAGGGTTGATGTTCCAGGAGGGATAAGCCAAATGATTTAGGTAAAACTAGAAAAATGGTCAGAGTTGTAGCAACTGACATTTAATGTGGATAAGTGCAAGATAATGCATCTTGGACGTAAAAACCCAAGGGCAGAGTACAGAATATTTGATAGAGTCCTAACCTCAACATCGGAGGAAAGGGATTTAGGGGTGATTATTTCTGATGACTTAAAGGTAGGCAGACAATGTAATAGAGCAGCAGGAAATGCTAGCACAATGCTTGGTTGTATAGGGAGAGGTATTAGCAGTAGAAAGAGAGAAGTGCTCATGCCATTGTATAGAACACTGGTGAGACCTTACTTTGAGTATTGTACACAGTACTGGAGACCGTATCTTCAGAAGGATATTGATACCTTAGAGAGTTCAGAGCAGGGCTACTAAACTGGTTCATGGATTACAGGATAAAACCTACCAGGAAAGGTTAAAGGATCTTAACATGTATAGCTTGGAGGAAAGACAAGACAGGGGGGGATATGATAGAAACATTTAAATACATAAAGGGAATCAATACAGTAAAGGAGGAGACTATATTTAAAAGAAGAAAAACCACAACAAGAGGACATAGTCTTAAATTAGAGGGACAAAGGTTTAAACATAATATCAGGAAGTATTACTTTACTGAGAGGATAGTGGATGCATGGAATAGGCTTCCAGCTGAAGTGGTAAAGGTTAACACAGTAAAGGAGTTTAAGCATGCCTGGGATAGGCATAAGGCGATCCTAACTATAAGATAAGGCCAGGGACTAATTAAATTATTTTAAACAATTGGGCAGACGAGATGGACCAAATGATTCTTATCTGCCATCACATTCTATGTTTCTATGATCTATGCATGAAAAACTACTTCAACGGTCACCCCAAAACAACTTGATATAATAACGTCATCAAGTTTTGAAAGGAAACCATATACATACACATAAGGTAAGACAGGGTTTTGAAAACGGAGTTCTCTCTATGGTCTTCCCTACTTTCACAAAATTAGGGAAGACCATAGAAACTGTTGGTTTTCAAAAGTAGTTTCTCTTTTCTTTACATATACTTCATTTCTTATCAGATCTTGAAGAAAGTGGTGCACACAACAGGCTCAAACACATTACACAAAGCCAGCAAGCATCACACACACTACACATGTGCACAAATTAACGAATTGTGGAGTCTTATTCACTGAAAAACACAAGCAAATACCCGACAAAATCAATTTGCTCGGGCACATAAAAAGGCATTCGATTTGTATGAAAAGCATTTGCGCACAAGTCTAAAACATGAGACACAGCTAATGCACACAGAGACCATGGAAGAAACAAAGGTTTAGACACTCTGGCTTATTCATGAACTCTTAAAAGTACAACGGTCACCTTAACACTATATTTTAATATAATGTGCACTGTGCAGGGAGTGAAGCATGGAAGACCATAAAGAGTATATAGAGGTTTTCAGACACTATCTGAACCAAAGTGCATGTATATGGCTGAAGGATCCTGTCATACAATAAGTTTTTTTACACATATACTTTAACAAAGCATCAATTTTCCTTTCAAAAACTTCATAAAAGGATTATTAAAATATAGTGACAGTTTTTAAATTTTTACAAATTAAATCCGAATGGGGACAAAGGTTGTGACTGTAGCAGAATCTTTCCAGATCCACTGTTTGTCTAAGCTTTTTTTATTCCCTTATTTGAGAAAATAAATAAATATTTAAAAAAAAAAAAAAAAAAATCACAAAATAAAACCAGAATTTAATAAATATAAAAGGTTAAATCCCAGGGCTCTAGGTATGTGCCCCAATCTGAAATTATTTTGTTTGTCAGGACTGTGGGGATTCCATTTTAGTCCCTTGTATTAGTTTAAAACAGAGCTGTACCGATTGTGACTCTGAGGGTCCCCTCCTAGCAAGGGGAGCAGGACAGGAGAACAAGAGGAAGATTGCACTTAATATAATTTGAGCATTATTTTTAATGCATACATATAAAACGCTGTAATTTTGGGGGTCTGGAACTGATTAATCAATTCTTATGGGAAATGTTGATTCGGTTCTCTAACAGCCTGCTGGAACGGATTAAGTTTGGGTTCATGTGTGTGTGTGTATATATATATATATATACACACATATACATACATACATACATACATACATATACACACACACACACACACACACACGTCCCTAGTCCGCTTCACCACTTTGACCACCATGGTCGGCCTTTTGATCTGCTTACGGAACTAGAACTACAAACTAAAACATAAATGAAATAGTTCATTCTTTTTTTCTCAGAAGCCATTAGTGTTCACCTCATATCAAAGAGTTAATAAAAAATATGTGATTATCTTGAGATGGACCACAGAACAAATAGTATATAAAGACTTTAAATAGGATTTAACTGTGTGAGTTTTCCTTTCCCCAAGAGATGTTGCAGCAAAATCGGTGTACTGTGGGAGGTAACAGTCAATCTCTAGACTGTAAGCTCGTTTGAACAGGGTCCTCATCTACCTATTGTACCTGTGTAATTGTCTCTTTTATTGTAAAAAAATCACCACCGCCCCTCCTTTTCATAATATTGTAAAGCGCTGCAGAATTAATTGGCACTATGTAAATACCAATAATATAATTTTTTTTATTGTTTTTGCAGTTTGTTCCTAGAATGCTTTCCCTCCCCTCTCTTCTGCAAACTGTTAAATGAGCTTGAAGTGGTTGTGATGCAAAGAGCATTTGGCTACCATACTTCTGATTTACAATATACCGTACTAGCTGTGGTTTTGGTAATGCGTCCTCCATCGTCCCATCTGAACTACTACATTGATTATGGTACATAGAGTGCTTCTGTAAACAACGTATATGCAGACATTCCTGCCAGCAAAATAAACAGAATGTATGTATTCCTGAGAAACTTATAACCGTTTTTCTGAATGAGTCGATTAGTTTAAATAAAAAAATTTAAAAAAAATAAATAAAAAAAAGGTACGGTTTATTAGAATTAGAGATGTCGCGAACGGCTCGCCAAGAACCGTTCGCGGCGAGCTCCGGTCAATCTCCAGCAGACTCTCCCACCTCCTGGCCAGCATCCATGTTGAAGCTGCCTTCAACATGGATGCTGTCCAGGAGGTGTGAGGGTCTGCTGGAGATTGGCCGGGATGTGTCAGCTGACCAGAGTTCGTGGCGAACCGCAGCGAGCCGTTCGCGGGAAGTTTGCGACATCACTAATTAGAATATGCATTTTTTTAAAAACCGTACACAACACAAAAAAAAAATAAATAAATAAAAAAAAATAAAAAATAAAAACCAACAACCATTTTACGTACGGCTACCATGACAAATGTAATAATGTGGACAATCTTTTTTCCATAAAGATATATCAACAACGCTCGGTTTCTTGCCAATCTAATTATTCCTTAAATACAAAAAATATATATATAAAATGTAATTTAAACATAGCCAAATATTTTGCAGCACTTTACTATTATAGAAAGGAGATATTTAGAGGTGAAGAAGGCCCTGCTCAAATGAGCTTACAATCTTTGAGGACTTTAAGTAGGCATAGGCAGATGTACCTAGTTAAGTGTCTTCGCTAGGGACACTTAATAGTGAGGTGGAAGGACCAGGATTCGAACCTGGGTTTCCCCAGTTCTAAAGCATTGAACACTGTTGTAAATAACAGGTACCAGGAGATATGAATGCGGTGCAGAGGTCGTAATAGACACAAGGAAGTCACCCCAGGAGTGTATCCTTCCAGAGAGGCAGCACTACTGGCCAACCCCCACTTGGATATATATGTACATAATACACTTTGAAAAAGGTTGTGTAGGCAGTATGCCCTATGTTCTGATGCGGCTGTGCGCTGTTCACAAAAGCAGACAGCAGAGAACAAACCTGGAGAGAAGTACAGTCCCCAAAATTCCAGGTTGTTAAACAGTATGCATAGTTGTCACCTCGACCACGTTGAAAGTACAAAAAAAAAAAAAAGGGAGCAATACAGTTTCTAATTATATGATGAAATAAAAAGTTTCGGAGGTGTGTTTTCTACCACTAAATGCCTATGGGAAGCTATGCCACAGAGTTACCTTCAGAAATGATTTGGCACCCATATATCACTTGTAAAGCTGCAACAGTGAGATATGATGCACCATAATACCACTCAACCATTTTAGGTGTTTACAGCACAGCATTAAATCAACAATTATTTTTGTTTAAAATGAGCATAGTTGAACTAGGGGTACAACAGTAATATTTTAACTTGAAGAAAAATAAAAACCCCTATATACAAACCACCATATCCAATTTCCCCCCTCCCCCTTTGAATGTAAGCTTGTTTGAGTAGCGTTCTCAGCACCTTGTTCCTATACATCCAACCAATCTTGTTGTAACTACTTGTTTCTTAATCCACCTATTGTACAATGCTGCCTCATTTTGTTGGCGCTTCAATATTATAAATCTAAAATACATTACCCGATTTTCTCTAGGGAATTTGTTTTCTACTTATGTGCTGCTAGTTTAGTAAAGTCTGACCTTTCTCAGACCTTTATTAATTGACCTAAAAAGTAAGCTAATAATTAGATTTTTTCCCCTTCTATTAACCGTTAAAACCACATTTTTTCAAAAAAAACAACACTAACAAAGAATATTTTTTAAATCGTTGCACTGAAAACAAGTAGTATCAATGGCTAAGCTTTGATATTTGCGGTTTTGTGTAACAGCATAGTTTATTGTACACCAGTCTAACACGTAAAGGGATACACAAAGCAAACATCTTTACAGCTGGATGTAGCGCTTACTTTGCCTAGCTGTGAGGATGTCAAATCTTTCAGGAGCGCTTTGACAAAAACTCAGGCTGGGGACTGTCTATGGCATCCAGCAACCACCCCGCCCCCTTCTCAAGAGCATTATAAATGATACAAATAATAAAAATAAACTAGTAATTTACACTACAGCTTTATCGGTTTCAATTTCATCCAACATCAATGGCACTGAGAGAACGAGAAATCCAAACTAATAACCCCTCACCCCCAAAAATCACCACCATCCAGTTTGGGTGAAAATTTATAAGAATGCGTTAATTCTGAATTATCGCTGAGGAGACACCAGCCTCTGGATATTGTGAAAAGTCACTTCATGTTTTGTAGAACTTCTTGTGATTTAACATAACTAGTGGACAATGCACCAAGACTCATAAAAAGGTGTAAGAAGTATCAAAAAGCCCTTAAAAAAAAAAAAAAAAAATTTTTTTTTTTTTTAAATCCACTTTTGGATGTAATGTGCAAAATTATATATATATATATATATATATATATATATATATATATATATATATATATATATATATATATATATATATATATATATATATATATATATTATATATTTTTTTTTTTTATAATACCACAAAATACATTTATAAAAATGCATGTAGTTTAAGACAAAGTCATTTGAACACAGAAAGAAAATTAAGCATTACTTAAAAAGGATAAAAAAAAGTTATAACCATAGTTCAACTTAAGCAGTTACAACTTGACTAGCAAAAAGAGAAAATAAAGTGATGTACACGGATGATTATCTTAACCACGTGTAGATTCCCGCCCTTCCATAATAACTGCAGCTATGCAAACACTGAGCATTCTAAGAGTGCAAGAAATGCGGCTACACACCAACGCATGCACTCCCAGACCTTTCAAACAAAGGATGAAATGGTAATCACGTGGTACACATCGAGCCATGCCCCTATAATACCAACTGTGACAGGCAGAGGGCGCTGCGCAACTCGTTATCGCAAATCCCAGCCGGCGCCATCTTGTTTACAGGCGAGTAAAAAAGACCTCGCGGGTGATAACTCTCAATGCTTATCGTGTCGCAACGCAAACGCCGCTCGGAGCGCAAGAAACGTTGTTCGGATGTACCTTTGCATGGAGGCGAACGTGTCGCAGGGTGAACAAACAGGAAAATTGTCCGTTAGTGGAAACAATCGGTCTCTCCGGCGCCGCCTCTCCGCTGCGTTAACACTCGCCCTCCTTCTCCCTCGGCACCGTTTGCTCCGACATTCAAACCCGAACAGTGCTAAGCTCCGCCCACTCCCAGTCCCCTCACGTCACGCGCCCCGGCCGTTATGCAAATGAGCGATCTCGGAGAGAGCGTCGATTGGCTGTGCAGTTCGCCCGATGTGTTTTTCCTGCCAGTTGGTGGTTTATGTGTTCTTAAAGTGAGCCCGAGCTCTATTCAAATTAGAACTAATGGACTGTAGGGGGAGAAGGTAGGTACCCGCCCCCTCACGTGTCCTTGGCAGATGGTCTGAGCTGCAGAAAGATCTACCTCTCCTTTAAGGTGGATGTGAACTTTGCTCTTACAATAATTGTGGTTTATTAATGTGATAGTGTTATAATTGTGTGGTATTATGTAAGGAGATACATGTCTATTAATATCATATGCTAATTATATGTATATAAATATTTTTATTGTTGCTTGTATAGCGTCAAAGTATATGGCTGCCCGTTATATGGGGATGTAAAATGGCAAATGACTATAAACAGGTAACGCGCTCCGACCAGCTTACAGGTGCCCTAATGATCGCATAGGGTATTGTAATCAGGGGAAAAAAACGAAACCGTTTTTCGATGGGGCTGTTAAGTTCCCCGTGACGATGATGGTTTGGCGGTGTATCCGTGTTATAACTTCATTTAGGGCTAGTATTAGCCTGTGCTAGTAAATGTGTAGATAGGCTTAACATGATGATAGCTTGCTGCTCTGTACGTTCAACACAGAACTAGAGAATAATGAGCTTTAGCCAGGCTTGGCAAGCTATATGGGACGCATACAGAGCTCGTTAAACAAAACCGGGTCGCATCTTTAAATTCGTAACTTAGATGATAAACATCCTAGCACGATATGTAGATATAAATGTATTACTTCTAGTGAGGGTGTGTGTGTGTATGTGTATGTATGTATATATATATATATATATATATATATATATATATATATAATGTTTTACTGGGAAGGATAATTATGTATTGATGTATAGCAGTATTAAAATTGTGCTGAGATTTAAAAAAAAAAAAAAATGAGCCAAATTGCCTACTGGAGTAACTATATATAACATACTGTTGCAAATTAATTCTATATTGGCATAAGGTAAGACATTAAAATAAATGTAATTAAATCACAAGTTTGCCTCATGATGTGCATATATATCTCAACCGTATAACTGAAACCTTGTGTACGAATGTATAGCAGAGAAGAGAAATTCCCCTGAGAGTTGTACATTTTAATAAATGGGTAACAGTGACCCAGACTGGGACACTACGAAATGGTAAATAAAATCCAATTTTGATGTAGTGCCCGACTAAGCATGATTTGTCCGTCTCCGATTATTTTTTTTCATCTAGGATATGTGGTTTGTATATTGTATATTAAAAAAATAAAGCCAGTAATGTATGTGCACATTGATACCTTCTGATGTATCGTGCTAGACTCAGACAAATTTAACAAATAAAACTTTCCGGGTAACCCTGGTCACGTTTAGCGCAGATAATTATTATTTGCATTCAAAAAAACTATTTCCTGTTTCTTGCACATTGGATAGCTGACAGCTTACTCTGCCACAAACTCAGATTGGCTGCTGACATCACATGCTTGCTGTAGCTCTTATTTAATCACTCTCAGAGAGGGTGTGAACATTGAAATTTCATTTTAAGATATCCACCTCCATTCTAAAAACTTGCAAGACCTTCAAATTACATTTTCACCTAAAGTTACTCTTGATTGGTTCCATGAAATTGTATCTATCTGATCTATCTCTGTTTAAAAGTGATTTATGGAAATCATTTTCAGGTGACCATGCCAGTGGCCTGCCAGGTATCATTTGCATAAAAATATAGTGGATTAAAAAAAATGAAAATCCATATGATTTATGTGCAATTTGCTCATTGAAGTATATTCTACCAAGCATAACCAGTACGTTATGAAACACTCTAAGTCTAATCCAAATCACAAAGCTTTTTTTTTTTTTTTTTATGCATTGAGTGACAAACAAGGCTGAATGCATAGGGATCTGAATTCCAGAATTAAAATCTATTGAAGCAGAGTGCAAATATAGTGCCGAAGGTAAGCGGGAAAACTAACCTATTTATGAAGCACTTGATCACAAGTCATTATGAAACATCCAATCAAAGTCAAAGGATAAAAGGTTTAAGAACTTTTTTTTTTTTTTTTTTATGCTACCAATCTATGGTTGGAGAATTTAGCAGTATTGACTGCACACACCTCCCACTGAGGTTAAATCAGGTATTTAACATGTTAAGGACCAAAGATTATCTGCTCTGTGCTATCTAAAAGTACTTTTAGGAGTCTATTCCTAAATCGAAAGACCCACACAATCACCGTAAAACATATATATGTGGATCAGTCCATTTTGGCATAAGGTCTACAGAGCATGTAAACATGTAAATATTCATATTTAGTTGTTGTATGCAAATGAAATAGGAAAATATATTAAAAATCTTGGAGTTTCCCTTTTAATAGTTATTCAGAAATCACCTACAGAAAGGTATGTTCTCAGTAAGGTATCGTTCTCCTTGCAACTAATTGCTGTTGAATTTCTGCGCATGAGCAAGGATAGAAAAATGGACCTGTATAGAAAATACCTTGGGCACTTGACATTGTCACTTAATTAGGCTTAGGCCCTCTTTATCAATTGTTATTATTGTGTAACACATTCTGCTATTCTGTATAATGGATGAAAAATATGTGCAAGTATTAAGACAGATTTAACAAGATACGATAAAATCCCAGCACAGAGAAGTTTACAATATGCAGCTTATTGTTATGGAAGTTGAGCGTTTTTATACTTCATCTAAGTTTAGGTACTGCTCTTTAAAACACAGTTGAAGCTGGAGAGGATTTCCCAGGAATTTTATCACGTTTACTTATCGGTATATTTTGACAGATATATGTATTTTTGAGGTGTGAAAAATAAAACTAAATGTGGAAATTATCACCTCTTTATCCTTCTAATAGGCGCTTCCATATTAGCGCTCTGTCAATCATTGTTATATGCTCTGTCCTTTGCACCTGGAAGTCGGCATAGAGATGAAGAGAACTGAAACCAATGTTTCTGTATTTCTTCTTAACTTGCAACATTTGCCTAGCTCTGCCCAAATGTACTGTAATTTGCTAAGTCTATACTATAAATTTAAATCAAAATCTCATGAAAAAAGGTTAAACGTAAATAGGAGATATTTAATTTTGTAAATTCCAGAGACATGATTGTTCCACTTTAATGTTATCTACTAATCACACTTTAATGGAATACTTTTTTAATGTAAGAAAGTGTCATTGATTGCATTTGGCAAAACCCATTTATAATGTTAATGGAAAATCATTTTGGTTATATTTCGTGCCTATCTTTGAACATTTTTTTTGTTGTTGTTTTTGGGTGTATGTAAACAATAAAAGGTTGTTAATTAGACTAACTTTCTATTAATGTGTGTTATTGCATTGTAAGTTTCTCCTGTTTTTGTCCTGGGTGTAGTATACTTATATTTTTACTATATTTTTTTTTTTTTTTTTTTAAATGTCTAAAATGAAAATACTAAATGTGTTTGGTTTTGTCTGGATCATAATTGTATCTAAAATTAGCATACACCTACCAAGTGAACCAGGCCATATGCCTTTAAAAAAAGTAAAACCTTTTTAGTAATGTGCAACTTCTTTTGGCAATTTGTGTGATTTTAGATGATTCCTGATGCTTCGAAAACTTGTGTGTAATTTGTTCACATGGAGTTCAATAGGAATTAATCTCTGTAAAAAATAAAAAAATGTTTCTGTATTTCTTTTGAAGGTATTGGTTTACCACTGAATTTCCCACTTTTGTTGTCTGTCTCTTCAATTCTAGGTACATAGAGAGTAGTTATTTGTGTTAATGCACACTTCCTGCTTCAATATGATTGGCTGATGTCAGAACAGTTACAAGTTTGGGGAGACAGCCAACTAGATGTAACAACTGATACACATCCTCAATAACCGCCAGGTCAGAAAAGGGTAGCTGACAATAAAATGACATCATGCAGATACTTGATGCTGAAAAGGAAAGGGCTGGCATAGAACCAGGTGCTTTATTTCAGTTATCTAATGGAAAGTTTTAATTGAGCCTTTTTAACATTTACTGCTTGTATCATTTATGTATTTTCACATCAACAGCCATGGATGTGAGTGGACATAAAAAGCCTTGGAAGGTTGACACTTATTAACTTTGTTGCCACTTATTTTATTTTGCTGTTCTGTAAAGTAAGTTACCAGCCTCATTTGGAGGTTTGCTACTACTTGCATTGGCTGATAATGTTCAAGTATTTTTAAGTTCGGTCTCTAGGCTGATATAAAAAACCTTTTAAATACTAGATTGGGATACAGCTTTAGTTCCTTGGCCAAATACGTTTTTGTTTTTTTTAATTTCCACAAACTTTCTGTCATCTAAAGACAGAAAACTGTGAGCGTAAATTTAGGAACAACTAAAGTTAATTCATTTGTCAAGTACATTTGTGGGATCAGATATTCTTCAATGAGCAGGTAGCAGTCTAAATATCCATAATATCAGGACATACTATGTTGAATCTGTATATTAATGTGTCACCTTATTGTAATAACTACCCTTATTTACTTAAATGTAATGCGCATTCAAATTTTGAAACCTGGGAACTGAAAAATGTTTTTGCTGGCAAATGTAATGTGCATTTGTACAAGAAACTAAAGTACAACATGTAAGACCAAAGTTCACTGTGTCAAAATTCACATCGCTACAAAGATGTGAGGTACAAGTCTGTACCAAACCAAGTCTTGCATACCTGTCGCAGCGCTGCGACGTTTGCGCTGGCAAATTTGCATCATATGCCCGTAGTATCTAATGTGCTGTTTATACTCTAATGCTCTATTTAATCTAACGCACATTCAAATTTTGGAGGTTTTATTTTGCCAATAAAGGTGAGCATTAAATTCAAATCAATATGGTATATATTACTTTAAGCACCTAACCAACTTTAGATTATTGAAGCAGTTCCTGGTGTATAAATTGTGCCCCCTCATTGTTACTACTCAGTTCTTTGCAAATGTAGCAGTTGTTTATGCACCACTAACTGCACCTCCCCTGGCACAGCCTACATGGGGGGGAAAAAAGGTTTCATTTTTAAAGCACAGCGTGTTTACTTTATATTTTTCGATACCTTTACTTTATTCCCACACAGAAGGCTCTAGGCTCTAAAAGGTAATTAACAGAGTAAGATACATTTGAGCTGTTTTTCAGGAAATATGTAGGGAGGGGTGCCCAAAAGGTAGATCCCAAGATGTTTTCAAGCAAAGCATCATGGGAGTTGTAGTTCTACAACATCTGGGGATCTACCTTTTGGATATCTCTGCTCTATATACTAAAACCACTTACTCAAGCTAAAGTTGTTTTGGTGCTCAGTGTGTCTCTCTAAAAACAATGTGTAATAATCTGTTATTCCCAAAAGAGTACATATACAGACTTAAAAGAACACTCTAGGTACTATAACAACTGCATCGGAATTACGTTGTTATGGTGTTTGAGTTCCCTGGCACATTTTAGGGGTTAAACCTTTCACAAACTATTTTACCCCAAGGTACAGTATCCATGCTGTATACTTCCTCTGCTCAGATTCTTGAAAGAGAAAGCCTTGGATGTGGGTGGTTCTGATTGACTGAGACCATGAGTACAAACATATGTTTCGCAAATCATTTGTGAATGGTGAACTACTGATGGGCTTAGGGCATGATCTAACACTCTCAGCCATCTAGCATTGCCCGTCTGCAACTCCCTCTTTCAAACAATGCAAAGTTTCAAAGAATGCACTGGGTATTGCAATAGGTATCGTCTGAAAAAAATACCAAAGATGGGGAAAGGGTTTCTTTACTACCACTATTCTAACTAGCCACGAGAGGTGGGACAGTGACCAGCTGTCTAGATCCCTACAGAACATTTCAAGCATTGGAAGGCAATTGGGTAACGTGGATATTCACACCCTTAGGCATTTAATGGCAGAGTCTGATCACTGGAATGGGAAACAGATGATTTGGTTAGGCACGCAGGTCCAAAAGGGGCATGTTTGGTACCTTAGAAAAAAAAACATTTCAGGTGGGATAGATCGGGACTCCTTTTGAAATGTGATGTAAAATACACAGCAATTTTGTGTGCTATATTGTCCACCTGAACTCCCATTATGTTGGGATTTTGTTTTTGTTTTTTTATCGCTTTTCAAAAGGGTTCTAGGGCAAAGACGAAGAGCAGCAGCATCTGTGGGTTACCCTCTTGCGTGCCATTTTTAACAATAAATTAATCTGTATAGGCCCTTTTCACACAGATCCGAGCCAAGGGTTCTCTATAGAGAGCTTGTATACACCTGTACAATTTTGTCCAAGTCCCATACACCACAAAGTGGCAAATAGGAGGTAGCCAATCAGGGCAAGGGTTTTATCCATGTTTTAATGTGTTTCACAGCTAGGGCCAGTCTTTCCTTTTGTGAAAGGGTTCTTCCAGGAGGTTTGCGGCATTAATGGAAAGTCGGTTGTGTAGGTTTATGGAGCTATAGTCCTGAATTCGGGTAGTAAGAGGAGAATGTACCATTGAAGGAGATGTTGGACTGTATAGTATCATCTCACTACCTTCATTATTTTGGCTGGTAGGTGGTGAAGTCTGTTTTGTTTATCTCAGATCTTAGCAGTGCACGTTAGCAATCTTTTCTTATTGATCGTAAGCGCCAGGAGGGAACCGCATTTGTTACTGTAGGTATGGAAAAACATTTAGAGCAGAAATAGGCTCTGTGATAAGCTGCATTCAGTAGTTTAGATAGGTCTCTTCATATGAGAGTTAGGGTTAGAAGGTGGCTTGGGTTGCTGGTCCATTTATGTTCGATTATACCGTACAGATTTTTTCTTTAAGATTTTGAATTTGGGCTGAGTGGGCATTCTTAAGGGCTGAACTTTTTTAAATGAAGAATCCACTTAGGATGCATTTATGAGCATTTCAGATCACAGAAGTCCACATGTCCAAGGACCTATCTTAGGTCTGTGTAAAGCGGTGGTCAAGGTGGTAGTGATAGCTGCATAGTCTGACCACATAGCTATGCCAGTCTCAGTGTGTAGCAATTGGCGCATGTGGTAGTATAGTAGAAAAAAGTAGTCAACTCTGGAGTATGTGAGATTTGGAGTGGGGAGAAAAAAGGTGTAATCTTTCGTCTGGGTTCATCAGCCACCACTAATCCTGCAATCTGTGGTTATGGAGCAGTTTGTGTATCGTGACTTCAGGACGTTTGGGAGTTGCTGTATGGCAACCCTCCTAAAAGAGATGATAAATTAGCACTATAGAAATGTAACAAAGTATTAGCAGTGGTCTTTGTATATACATTTGTGTCCAAGCAATTTTAGCTCTTAATTACCACACAATGTAAATGTACTCTGTAAGAACTATAACTGCTTAATTTCATTGAACAGTTTATACTACCTAGATTCCCCTGATTACATTGTTCCTTTCAATAAACAGTTTTTCATAGTTTAACACTAAACTAGATTCTCAAGTAGACTGGCCTCTCTGTTCTGCTCGGGCTAATGAGGAAGCTTAGCTGGTATAAATTGATATTGCTAATGAGCAGTGCAATCTCCACTTTAGACACCGCTCCAGTAGGGATCATGTTGTGGGCAATCAGGGACCCTTATTCAGTGTTCAGCCAATCAACAATTGTTTGAGACCATGCAGGGGAATCCACGCACTATGACCAGTTCAATCAGGTAAAATTGTGATAGTGCCTGAAGTCTCCCTTTAAGCAACTGATCTTTTTCAAATTTTTCCATGGGCCACACCACTTTACCAACACAATTTGAATTGTAGCAAATTGAAATCCCAGTTGCAAGATTGAGGCTCAAATAGATCATCTTGTGGCTCTTGTGAATACCATACACGATGGGGAAAAATTTTGCTACCCCATAGAGCCGAGCTGGAGATATAAGATTTATAATCCGTGGCTATACCAATGTTAAAACACAGCCCAGTTCACTAAACAATGTGTAGATAGATATCAAGATATAAACGACACACAAAAGATATCCAGGACAATTACTCAAAGAAACAGTTAATTGCTAATACAGGTTTATTTCAGAAAAAAAGGAGATATAACATGGCAAACAGAAGTACAAATCAAATAATTGTTAATAGACCTAAATTACAAAAGAGAGTACATGCACCTGTGTGAAGGTGGTGGGGAATAAATAAAAAAATGCTATGAAACCACTGGACGCGTTTCACGTCTACGAACATGCTAAACAATGAACTGGGCTGTGTGTAAACTGATAGCTGCAGCATTTTTGACTGCTAATAGTTTATGGGATGATTGGAACTGCTATTTGAAATTATATATATTATGTATTAAAAATATATTTAAAGTAGACAATTCCTTTAAACTATTTTGACAAAGATTATAACTCTGAAATGTTGGTTGTATTGCTGTGAACTTTGTTAATAAAGAGTCACTCTGACAACATGGCCATGCTATTCTTTCTTATGTTCTTGTAATTTTTATTTATTTCTTTTTGGGCAGCAACAGCTTGTGTTGAAACAGCAGATTGAGGATGATTAATGTTCAGTTATGTCAATCATGCAGTTTTACAATTTTCTTTAAAATGTAGTTTAATGTTTGTTTTAAAGGAAAACTCTAGGTGCTATATCTACTTCATTTCATTGAAATGGTTATAGTACCTGGGCTCCACTAGTACCAATCCTCGATTCACTGTTAAACTTCTTTTAAATTATTTAACCCTGGACAATCACCCACTGGAGGTATGGCTTAAAAAGAGATTACATTTTTCTTTAGCCATACCAATTCATACCAGCAATGAGTATGAGTAATTTAATAAAAATAGAAATTAAGTCGTCTTCTTATCTGTTCTCTCCTTACCCCCTTAGCATGACTTTGAAAACTATGGCGATAATAAGAAGACAGTGATTGGCTGTGGGACAGAGCGGAATTAGTAGCTTTTGCTCAAACTAACCTCTCACTTTCTGAGGTACACAGCACACGTAGAATCACAAAGACTTTTTTTTGTGAGAAGGGTAGGTGTAGCATAGGGGTTGGGTTTATACTCAACAAACCTGCAAAACTTATTTTTCTTTCTTTTGGAAAATAAAGGGATTTGATCAGGAAGCAAAATATAGCATTCATTTTAAATGCAATTAAAAACAGATATCATCAATTTTCCACTTCTCTTTTTCTTAAGTTTGATTTTAATTTAATGATGTTTTTAAATTATGTATATTGATTTTATTTTTAGGAAAAAAATCACTTTTGATCTGAGCGGCCATGTTGGGTCAGACTTTATTATTATCTGACCAACTGTCACTCAACCTTGCTCAAATGTGACTGCTACAGCAGTTTCACATAGAGCAATCACGGCAGCAGGTACATTGAGCAGCAGTTGGTTAGATAACAATAGAGTCTGACCCAACATGGCTGCTCATGCAGATGAAATGTGAAAGTTTATCAAAAAATATATACTTTATTAATAAAAAATGTTTCCAGTATCAACAGAGTAGTATTTTTGCTGCAAGCAATAAATCTAGAATTGGATACAGGAAAAGGTGGTTTTGCGCACACAATGGATGCTTGATAAGATAATGTGTAAAATAGACAGCTATCATAGGGCAATATGCATAAACCAATAACTGATATAGAAAATGATTAGGAGCACTCACATTTTAGAGAGCCATATAAGTCGGCTCTCTACTGTAGTAGCATGTAGAATACTCTGTACTGTAGTTGGAATGGTCCCCCAGGAACAAGAATCTGTCCAGATACAATCAGGAACCAAAATAAAATATAAATAAAGTATTTTATTTAGAAATAAAAGCTGTATAAGCACAACGCATTTCGACCACTCAAATGGGTCTTCCTCAGGTGAAATACTAGTACAAACGTATTTATATTTTATTTTGGTTTCTGATTGTATCCAGACAGATTCTTGTTCCTGGGGGACCATTCCAACTACAGTACAGAGTATTCTACATGCTACTACAGTAGAGAGCCGACTTATATGGCTCTCTAAAATGTGAGCGCTCCTAATCATTTTCTATATCAGTTATTGGTTTATGCATATTGCCCTATGATTAGTACAAATGGATACCTTTTCCTGTATCCATTTGTACTAATGTAAGTGTTTTTAAGGTGACTAAAACACTGGTTTGGTTTTAGACGCACTGGGATTTGCCATTTATGATCTATTTACTGTTTAGCGCGACTTACCCTATTGTTTGTGTTTGAATAAATCTAGAATACAGGATCTACATTATTTGGTAAAATGTGGGGAGTGATGGTGTGGATAAGGGAAATACGTTTTTTCTTTTTGTGACCCTCCCCCACCCCCCTAAGGAAGGGCTATTTTAAACCATAAGACTATGAACATCATATCATTTTGGTGTATGTTCATTCAGCTGTCATGTTCCTTTTTTCATTTAGTGCCTCTACATGTATTATATACATCTTTTAAAAATGTTGCATAGTATGCTTTAGTTACCTTGTCATTATGAATAAAATAATAAAAAAAAATATAAATAAAATATTTGTGTATTCTGATTTTCAGAGTTCATTGTACGCTTATTTTTGACTATTTTGTTAGTAATAGGTCACATATTACAAGGAGCACATTACTGTTTTCAAACCACAACAATTTTTTTTGTAATCTTTCTCCTGACTATGCCTAAAGGAACACTTTAGTGTTTATATTTCTAACACTAAAGTGTTCCTATGCCCCACCACCATAACCACTCAAAGGGTTAAATAAGCCTTGATGTTACATTATTCTCACTGTGGTGGCTCCAAATCCTTCAGTGTCAGCATTTAGTGGTTCCCAGGCTAGAATGATGTCATATTCCAGCTCAAAGCTTCACTGGAGGGCGATGGAACAAGAAGATTACAGCTCCCTCGCCACCTGGCTTCATTCCATACCGCTGGCCCAATACCACTCTCTTCCAGACGGACACCGGCCCACCTTCACACTTTCTCGGCCACCCGCCACGGAGGGAATGTGCTGATAAATCCAGGTGCCAGGCCAAAATTCCTAGCGACCATGGCACCTGAGATTTGTCGAGCCCTAGTTTATACGGAGGCCGCTATGTTGATGTTTTGTATCCAAATTCGATTAGAGGATCCCAGGGTTTCATTGATGTACTTTTTTTTTTATTTGAAGTTTTTATAATATTTACTAGATTTAGAATTGTTTTCGTTTTATTTGATTATATCTGGGCATTTGCTGCGCCTTAGGCATTGAGAAACAACCTAAAATTTCTCAGTCATGGCCTTCTTGAGCACATCTGACAACTACAGATGGCTCCTGCCTGAATACAGTGCTATAGCCACACCACTGACAGACCTAATCCTTAAAAACCTCACCAGACAGGACCGGACTGTGGTCTCCAGAGTGTGAGGAAGAATTCAACAAACACAAGTCAGTTCTGACAAACGCCCCAGTGTTGGCAGCTCTCAATCCAACTAAAAGATTTATTGTTTACACAGACGCTTCAATGTTTGGATTGGGGGCTGTGCTGAGCCAGGTCGGGGACAATGGCGGTGAGCACTGGGTGTCATATATTAGCCGCAAGTTGCTACACCAGGAAATCAAAATCAGTTATGCCTCCATCGAGAAAGAATGCCTGGTCTTAGTTTAGCTACTGAAAAAACTAAGCCCTTCCTATATGGATGTTCTTTTTCTGACAGACATTTTTCTCCCCTTAAGAGCTATATGCACACTCTCTGAGGTTTCCCCTACCCTTCACCAGGCACAGCCCCGAAGAGCACCTGCACTTTACCTCCACTCGTGACCGAGCCTAAGAGTGAAAAATGTGAGTCTCCTAGAGGTCACTCTGGCCAGCCATGTGGAACTCTCCATCGGACCGGAAATCAGGCCGCGGCAGGCTAAAATTTTAGCTGAGTGTCTATACAACACCCTGCGTGACCGAAGAATGGGTAGAGCTATCCGGGTTATAAGACATGTTGGGGTTATTTATGTTTTTTCATGTGTTTTGGGGTTTTCATGTTTGGCATTATCTCCTAGCCCTGATGTCTGTTAGATAATTAAGTTAGCGGTTACTCATCTAGTTATCTCCCAGATTCAGGCACCAAGGTGAGATTTTCACTGTTTAAACCATGTACCCCCTGTTGGGGTTGTGTGTATAAAAGTGTACCTTGTTCACAATAACGCATTTTTTATTCACTACGTTTCAACTAGTGTTTGAGTGAGACAGCTATAATCACTCCAGGTATCAAGTGCTCAAAGAGAGGAACCATTGATATAGACACTCAAGCTGAGAGCTGAACTCTTTTACAATTGTATAGTTGGATTACATTCTCATCCACTCCTCTGACCTTGTTTCCTATCATATACAAGTTTGTCTTGTTATCACCAAGTTGTTAGAAAATTGATTAATTTGCAAGCTAGAGAAATGTGTCTTTGCCAGGGACCAAATTCTTATTCTAGGTTACTTAATTTCCTCTTCTGGTTTCCAGATGGACCCTGAGATGCTAGCAGCTACAGTATACTGGCTCCTTCCCCAGAGTTTTAGAGCTAAAAGTTTATAGTATTCACAAATTACTTTAATCTGTCCCCTATCACTGCCTTAGCCATGAGACAAGTTGACATGATTAACTGGTCTCCTGGAAGTTTTAGAACTATTTGGAAAAATTCATTAAAGTTTTTGTGTCAGCTCCTATTTTCAAACTTCCCAATCCAAATATGTCTTGGAAGTATCTGTATCTGAAGTTGAAGTTGTGGACATATTTTCCCTGATGACCTTCCAGAAAGTCATTTCCATCCTTGATGTTTCTTTTCCAAGAAGCTCTCTAATGGGGAACAAGGCTATGATATTGGCAATTGTGAATTCCTGCTCATTGTTCTAGCATTTAAGGAATAGAGACACCAGCTGGAAGGATCAGTCTCACCAGTTCTCATATTCACCAATCACAAGAACCTTATTTATATTAGTGAGACCAAGAGGCTCGCAAGCTCAGCCAGTCTCTATTCCTAAAAAGAAAGGGAGAGACAAGCATGCGCCTTAAAGCAAGTGAAATAAATACTTATAGAAATGTTGAGAAGTCCAAGCAAAAAATGTAAAATAGTCCAATATATAAGTAGTCCACGTTCCCAGGGAGTGATCCTAGTGGTACAGTGGGTAGAATGTGAAGTCACAGATGTAGGTTTGTTGTCCCGAAGTTGATATGTGGAAGAAACAGAAAACAGAAAAGGACTCCAATGGTACAGTATGTCGTAGTAAAAGATATTATGTGTAAAGTATTAGAACTACTTACAATATCCAGAGCTTAAATCCAGCTCTGGTATGAATGGCACGAAGTGGAACAATCCCCACTCAAGGATATGTGAAGCTCCTCTAGTATTCTTCAGTGAAGTAGTTCAATAGAATGGTCCGGCTCAGGATAAAAGGAGATAAAATATATAGTGCTCCCTGATCGATGAGTAGAGTATGGGTGGTACAATCCCCACCTAGGGATTCTTGATACTTCCTTATAGACAGTAGAACGATGATGGCAGGTCAGGATCATAAAAATATAAATAATAAAAATACCAAAATTAAGGTAATATAGTACTATAGTGAAAAAAGGAGAGTGGCAGCAGTGTAGAAAATAGCCAAAATTCCTTTATTAACACTTCAAAAAATAAATATAAAAAGTTTCTAGACGCATTTCGCCACAGACTGGCTTCATCAAGTAGAAATATATAGGGCATTTCACTTGCTTTAAGGCTCACCCTTGTCTCTCCCTTTCTTCTTATTTGTATTTTTAGGGGATAAGAGGGGACCCCCTTTCCATTGGTGTGCTGCCTTGTTGTTATACTTTTGTATTCCCTGTTGGCTTATCAGCGCTGATCCTCTTTTCCGATCTCTTGGTCTCTATTTCTGTCTAGATTCATTCACCACTAAAGGCACCCAGACCATTCCACCTCAATGCAGTGACCTGTTAGTTTTAACCCTGTAATGTAAAACATTGCCCTTTCTACAAATCATTGCAGTGCTAAACACATCTGACAGTCACCTGAGGTGCTCTCTCTGTGACAGACTCAGTTCGTAAAGGGACACTATAGTCACTAAAACAACTTTAGCTTAATGAAGCGATTTTGTTGTATAGATCATGCTTCTGCAGTCTCCCTACTCAATTCTCTGCCATTTAGGAGTTAAATCACTTTTGTATCTGTTTATGCTGCCCTAGCCACACCTAAACTGGCTGTGACTGCCACATACTGCATGAAAACAAAACGGTTAATTTTCAATCAGAGTTTGTATCTCCCGTGTGATGAAAGTAACTGTGATGGACTGCCTGGCACCCCGACCTGGTACCACCGTCTATCGCTGCTTTCTAGTACCTGCGAGCACCATAAGCACTGTACTGGAACACCATATCCACCGTAAACCCCACGAACCGCCTCTGCTTGGTTGGGGTCTCGCTGTCCTCCACCTACCCTGGACCCAAGACCAGGATCCAGCTTCCAGTGGGTAGACCTCTCCTAGTCTAGAGAGCATAGCAGGAACAGCTCTTATAAGAGCTAGTGATTATACTCGGGGGTATTGTGATTATAGCAATCCCCAGAGTGAATGTAGTTCTCCAATCCCCCAAACATGAGCCAAGACTTCATGAAGGGGTAAAGCATTCTGTTTAATGGCAGCCACCACTGGCCTTATATACAAGTCCCCATGCAAGGGGCACTCCCACCTGGGCCTTGTGGGGAACTGCAGCACCAAGTCACAGACCAATAACAACAATGGTTAAATACATGACACTCCCATATACAAACACACAATCCCTCCCCTCTGCCTTGGAGATAATTGAAGCAGGAACTGTACTAATCCAATCCAATTATCTCCAAGCACAGTAAAACATACTTTTTTAAAACACCCCCAAAGTACCCTGAAAATTCATAAAACCCCACAAATGTTACATCCCATGATAGCCCTGATCTGGGTGACCAACATATCCCAAAATCACCCAAATCAGTTCAGGGGTTCAGGAATTATCTGGAAGTCTTATTTTTGACCCACCGTGCACCATGCCCAAAACAGTTCCAGAGAATTAGGGCTCACGGTCGGTCTCTCTGTCTGGAGTTCATACTTCACATGAACAGAGCCTTTTACAGTGCATTGGGCAAGGTATATTGCATGGCCCACAGTCAGGAGGCTGGCAAACAGGCCTCTCCAAAAACCAGTGACGAGGTTACTTTCGCTATGTAAATTGACGAGGTTACTTTTGCTATGTAAATTGAACTTTAATCACGCACAGGAGGCTCCTGCAGGGAGCATACTCTATATCAGGGGTGCCCACACTTTTTAGCATCGTGATCTACTTTTTAAATGACAATAAAAATACACGGTTTCTTACAAAAAAAAAAACAACATTAAATCCTTATTACGACTACTGTATGTATCATCGTATTGAATTAATATAATAAAATAAATTT